GTTTGATGCGTCAAGGGATGTCAATCAAGCGAGGCACAGTTCGTTTCAGGACTTATGTAACTCGTGACGCACAATACATTTTGAACCGAATCGCGAACGCTGTAAGGCTTGCATTCCTATCAAATCTGCCTCCAAAGGTCAAATAGCAGATGCAAATGGAATGCATTGTGGCCAGTTTTTTATGTAAATATAATAACAATCATTACTTACTCGTGGTGATTGGTATGCGAACTATCCTTGCTGACTCCGCTCCATGCACGGGGCATTGATTACTGATTCATTATGAAACCAATTGTCATCTCATCGTTAGAACATAAGGTCATATGTATGTCATTCGTTTGTTATGCCATCAATTTAGAAAATGTATACGTTGTTAAATGAAACTATTTCACGGATTTTATCGCGAGTTTACCCCGTGACCATGAACGCTGGAAAGAGTTCGAACGTCGGGAATTTAAAAATGTAATTAAACGCGATAAAATCCGTAATTAACTATTCTATGAGTCCGCTGCCATGGGGACTGCACGGATTTGCAATTTTCAATCAACATATTTTATTTGTTAATGTAATAATTTTTAACAAAAAAAAACCGACTTCAATCAGAAAATTAAAAACATTGTTAATACCTATAACATTCAATGATGGCCCTCGATTTCTCTGGGATGCCATCATCAGATCCGGGTTTCCTTATCATGATACCACCCTTGGGATATCTCCTTTCCGATAAAAAGAGAATCATCAAAATCGGTTCATAAACGATAAAGTTATCCGTGAACACACATAAAAAAAAACAAAAATATATACGGTTGAATTGAGAAACCTCTTCCTTTTTTGAAATCGGTTAAAAAAGGCGCTCCAATTGTATATGTTCATGCCATGACACCCAGGCAGTGATGGGCAGGCATAGATGACAATGGAATACTACTTTCCAAGATCATGGCACTCGTCTATTGACTCATATACATTTTACATCAAGTAAATTCAAGCTTATGACGTACTTTTTATGTACCAAGTTAGTGTCAGGTGTGAATTTTTTTATCACATATACCTACGGATAAAATAATTATAGCATTTATTTTTTATACGCAACTGTTTATAGCATTATTGAAGCAGCATAAATCTATTTACTCAGTTACGCTAATAACTGAGCACTGTGAGCTAACCGCAACAGTCTTTATATTATAGCGACAGTTGTAGATAAGTAAATGTAGTAAAGTAACAGCCTGTACAAATCCAACTGATGGGCAAAGGGCTCCTCCGCTCCTACAGATGGTATTAGGGCGTAGTCCACCACGCGACTCCACTGCGGATTGGCTGACTTCATATATCTTCGAAATATTTTTTTATTATTTCGGCAAACGGTAATGCAGCACTTAAAATTAACAATTACATTGGTGCTGGCATCGGTATTCGAACTGAGGTTGCTCAGAGCGCCCGGACACTGAACTATCACGGCTCATTTGTTAGTTAGTGTACACAAATCTTTAAACCAGCTGTTTATTTTTGGTTTGAGTAAAAACTCTGTTCCGAATAGGTAGCGCCACGCAACTGTCTTAACTGCTGCACGAAATTCGAATTTTTCCGTTGGGATAAAACTATTAGAGTAGACATGTCAGAGACTTAGCATGTTGGGTACACTAGATAAATCTCTAGCAATTAATAATTCAGTTGACAGTCTTGGGATACACATGGCAGACTCTAGTAGATTAGGGTCCATCCTCGTGGAAACTAGCTTTTCCACGGGTCCAGTTTTAGATTGAGTTTCTATGGTCTCCGGACTAAAAACGTGACTTCAAGAAATACAAGCTACAATAAGACATCATTTCGATCGGACGTAGGTACATGGAATATTATTAAGTACACTTAGATTTACAAAAACTTTTTGTAAATCTAAGTGTACAATATCGATTATATAAAAGTTTATAGTTTTAAAACTACCAAACGTGACTGTGATTTAGAAAAATTTACAAGTAAATACAAATTTCTTATATATTATAACAGCAAAATTATATGCCTTTCAAAACTGTCGCGGCAAAATTGTTAAATGCAAATTTAACAACATGTATTGAAGCAGGCATTTTTATCTGATTTCTCTCTCTATTATCCGCCTATCTTCTCTCCTTATTATCCGCCATCGTCATGAACCGTATTAGCAAAATCAAGTAACAGCCTTTATATGCCCCACGGCTGGCCCAAGGCATCCTCCGTACAGGATATAAGGGCCTAGTCCACGACTACGTGGCCTAACTGCGGAATGGCGGACTTCACATAGTATCTTCGAAATATTTTTTTTGTTAATATTTCGAAAATATGCAGATTTCCTCAAGACGTTTCCCTTCACCGTTGAGCACGTGTTATGTCATCGTTTAAAATTATCATTTTAATTGTTGCCATCATCGGGGATCGAACTTAGGTTGCTCGAGTATGTTGAATTATAAGCGAGCGCTCGGACTATGTGGAATTATCCTACTTTAGTAAGTAAACGCTCCATCTTACAATCATAACTAACGCCTTAGCATAACAAAATACACAATGAAACTTCTGCGGAATGTTTTTTTTTATGCGAAAAGTTGCCAAACGAGCAGACGGTTCACCTGATGGTAAGTGAATACCGCCGCCCAAGAACATCTGCTACACCCGAGGGTTACAGATGCGTTGACAACCTTTTGAAAATTGGGCTCCGGCTACCTCACTCACCAGACGAAACGCGAAAGTATTTGTCATACTTCCACTTTACGCCGGTCTTCTGTGAGGTCGTGGTACTTACCCGGACGGGCCTACCAATTCATGCAACAGCCGAGGCTGCTGCGTAAAAATGTCCTGCATAAGTACTGTTTATCTATATGTGTAAAATCTGTACCTGTAAAACTCATTGATTGATAAGTCAATTTCCGATATTCACCCAATATTCGATTCACACTTTGTTTAATCGAATTGTTTAACACATTTATCTCATTCATATTTTTTACGTTTATAAATTCTCTGTAGATATGAAGGTTTATCACACAATGATAGGTATCTAAACTTTATCCAACGATGATTAATCGTCAAAGTATTTAAATGTCATCATAGTTGTATTACCTACTTCAGAAGTTTGTTGCTACTTGCTACCATAGACTCAGGATCTGAGTATGTAGTACATTCTTAATCTATGGTTGATACTGAATAAGGCAGGCAGTACAGAGGCTATTTGTCAATTAGTCATAAAATTCGTTGCCCTTGTTGAACTCATAAAGGCTAACTACCTAACTATTGACAGTTCCTTTCAATTTTCCTCAACAATGATAGATCCATTGAACGAAAGCTACAAGTTATTTCAAGCATAAGAAATAAAAATCGCAACAATCTTATGTTTTTCGAAACTTACAGTTTTAGTCACGAAAAAAAAATTTTTTTTATATATTTTTCATGGGTCAAAAGTAGCCAAATTTGAGATCTTTCGAAACTCTTAAAATTCTATTCTCTAAAAATATTAAATTTATCATGAAAAGTCACAGTATATTTTTTATTTGTATTTCAATAAAGAACATAAAAAATTGTCCGGTTAAAAATAAAAATTCCTTGAAATTGTTTAAACAATTTCAGTTTAAACAATATGGCACGGGGTTGCCCCATGGCAACATGCATTTATATCATCAGTAGGGCAATTTGAAGAGGATCGCGTATAAAAACTCATAAGCTGATTCCTCCTGGACTACTAGTAGGTATACTAATCTTTATATATATACAATTATTCTATACAAGTGTATGTCACTAAACTCCTCCTAAAAACGAAAATCATCACGAAAAATTTCACCGGTCCATAAATCGGCCCAGCTGCGATTTTTGGACCGATGAAATTTTTCGTGTGTCTTCAGATCGATTCGAGAATGGCTCGCTTCACAATTTTTCTTTTTTTTTAAGTTGTCGGATTTAAGTCGTGTGTACAGGACAACATCAATCTTGTTCCACTTTTTTTTACTAGATAGAGATTCAAGATGAAGGTTTACGTATATAATACATGCATAATATAGTTAGCAATGCTGATACTAAATATATTCTATATTTAGTATCAGCATTGCACCCGTGCGAAGTCGGGGCGGGTCGCTAGTATAATATAAGTATAAAACGAAAATTAATAATATGCACACACTTAAATCATTTCTAAAATGAAACTGTTGTCCTGATCGTCGTATTCTCCCTAAATGCAGCTCAAAACAATAATTCTACAAGAAATCTCTGCAGGATCGTGACTTGGCCTTCATTCAGAATTTTGGAGATTCGAAGCCGATGCATCTGTACTTATTCCATTAACAAGACTACGTTCCGCAGATTGGGAAACAGGTGAGGTTGTGAGGTTGTGCAGTGTTATTTTATCCCTTTCGATAGCGGAATTATGTCATGTATAAGCGAATGTGAAAGATGATACAGAACGTATGATACGGAGAGAGATAGCAGTCTATGGAATTGAAATCCAATTACACCAACTGGTGTAATTTAAGTGCAAAGATTAGCACTATAAACAATTTAAATTTCTAAAAAGCAATGGCGACATCTCTCGTTCGAATTATCGTTGTAAAACGATATTCGAAGTTGTTTGTATGGGAAAGGATATAACAATAGATGGCGCCAAGCATTGCTTTGCGAAGAAAACAATGTGGAAGAATGCGCCGTTTAGTGTGGCATGCCGATCTATTCCCACAGCGGCGACAATTTTTCGCATTTTTCTACCATATTTTAATGGCGTAAAGTCTCCCAATGCGCAGTTTGGGCTCAGTTTCAATAGGGACTCGTATTCGCATTTATACCATTGGCGTAAACTCCCTGCGCAGATGACTTCAAAGGGACCGCTTTAGTATCAATGAACGCCTCATACGAACTCCTATGGATACACGCTCGTCGAGCGGCCGCTATCGCTATGGACGAGATGCCTTATCGCTATCGGCGTTATCTCGAGTGCGGTACTCAGTTTCATTCCGGCCACCGTCAAGCGCAGACATGAGGCGGGGACAGCTGACATAATGGTCAGTGCTTATTCTGTTCTGTTTGCAATACGCCGTTTCGCTGTGTTCGTCGCTTGGTGCTGTCGAATTGCGGTCTGTCATGATGTTTAGATTTACCGCCAGCCCTGTTTTCAGAATTGCAAGATGAAATAGAGCACTCACTGTGTCGTCTAGGTTCAATAGAAGTGAGTGCTTATAATTTTATCTAGCCCTTGGTAACGATTGCATGTCCAAGGCATCTGCCGCCCAGCGAAGTATTTATTTATCTTAAAGGAAACATAAAAATGTTTCAACACTAACTAGTAATTGATGACAAACCCCTGCGATGATGCAATCTTGAACAGAGACGCCCGATTTCTATTATTAGCTTTAATAAAACAAAGATAAGCTTACCGTGTGTCACCGAACAAAGTAAAGCCTTATTATTTCTTGTGTTAAATGAATATTTAACTATATGAAAACTAATTTATGAATTTCACTTTACTAATGAAACCTCCCTAACCATTCTCTCTATTTAAAATGTTCGAAATGTCGGAAACTAAAACCGTAATATAACGAAAAAGGATTGAAAAAATTATTCGATGTTATAAAACTAGGTACCTGTAATAATTTAAATTAACGAAACACAGTATTAACCAAAAAAAACTTAATTCATATCGAAATATGATCACAATTATATTATCTGTTTAGCAAATTGTATTGAAAGCAGTAACTTATTTGACGTTGAAATATTCATTAAAGACATGTTAATTTATAACAACATTTGACTGTGCAAAGACAAAGGAGACGAAATGCACATGAAACATGTATATGGCACATGTATACCTTTCTCACCACAAGTTAAAAATTTAGGGCTAATTATAGACAACAGCTTATCGTGGACATCTCACGTTACAAATATTTGCTGTAAGGTGAATAATACACTAAGATGTCTGTTCCGCTATAAGTATTTTCTCCCCTCGTGCACTAAACTGTTGCTGGTACAGACGTTGGTGCTGCCGATAATTGATTATGCTGATGTTTGTTACTCGGATGCAAATCAGGGTCTTCTTAATAAGCTTGACCAACTCCTCAATAATTGTATAAGGTTCATATTTGGACTTCGAAAATTTGACCACATTTCCCATTTTCGAAGTCAGCTAAATTGGTTGCAGATTCGCGAGCGTAGAAACAGTCACATTCTTCGTACCCTATTTTCTATCCTCTTTGATCCCATCGTTCCCAACTATCTGAAACAAAAATTTTCCTTCCAATCTGATGCTCACTCTCGCAACCTTCGCTCTGATCACAATCTCTCCCTCCATATTTCTCTTTATCGTTCCCGCCTTATGTCCAACTCCTTTCAAGGTCAAGCTGTACGGCTCTGGAACTCGCTACCTATCTCAATCAGAAATTGTCTGACTAAAGAGACTCTTAAACGTGCCGTCTTTAAATTTTATTTAGATAATCGACAATGTTGAACACTGAGTTGCTTGAATTTCCTCTTCCTGACATAATTCTAAAATATCTAATACTATATAGGTATGTATGTATTTGTGTATGTATATTTGTATTATATATATATAATATATATATAAATATTAGTATATGTGTATATTTATGTAATATGTATGTAATATTTTATATATTATCATGTTCTTTACTATCTCATCTGGCTCTGTCGCACCTCCTTATTCTCTTTGCTTATTTGTCGGTTGACTGGTAGAGATCACCTAATGGTGCTAAGTCCGCCATTGTACGTTATTGTGCATAAAGTTTTTAAATAAATAAAACCAAATAGAAAGACGGCAACATTTCACAGATGCTCACTTCCCAGCTTTAAATGATGACCACAATTATAACATTTTTATTTACAGTACAAACTATAACTCTGATTCACTATACATTTTCTATTTGACTTCGAATAGTCTCCTGATGTACCTCCGCCGTCCAATACCAATTAAATTAATATGGGACCACATGTGATGTGCTAAACCTTTTTTTATTTGACGACCCGAATGGCGTAGTGGGTAGTGTAACTGCCTCCTGTGCCAGAGGGTGTGGGTTCGATCCCCACTACTGGAAAAATATTGTGTGATGAACATAGTGTTTTTCTAGTGTCTGGGTGTTTATATATGTATTATATGTATTTATTTACAAAAGAAAAGTATGTTTAAGTATGTTTATCATTTTTCTAGTACCCATAGTACAAGCTTTGCTTAGTTTGGGACTAGAGAATGTTGTGTAAAAATGTGTCCTTAAGTATTTATTTATTATTTATTATTAAACCGAACTGTATACAGAACTAAAATTAATTTTTACAATCGGTTGATAAGTAACATGATTTCCGAGGTAAACATAACACAACCGAAATGAGAATCCCATTTTCAAATTTTGAACCGACTTCAAAATGGAGGAATTTCTCAATTCGACTGTATTTTTTTTGTTTAAGTAACAAAGTAACAGCCTATACATGTCCCACTGCAGGGCAAAGGCCTCCTCTATGTAGAGGGTATCAGGGCATAGTCCACCACGCGGCCCCACTGCGGATTGGCGGACTTCACATATTTTCGAAATATATATTTTTTGGTTATTATTTCGAAAATGGGCAGGTTTCCCTCACGATGTTTTCCTTCACCGCGGAGCACGTGATAAGTCAGCACTTAAAGTTAAAAACTTCATTGGTGCCGGCACCGGGGATCGAACTCAGGTTGCTCGAGTATATTGAATTAAAGGCGAGCGCCCGGACACTGAGCTATCACGGCTCTTTTTTGTTTGTTAACTCAGAACTTTCGATTGAGAGAACAGATTTTGATGATTCTTTTTTTATTTGACAGCCGGTGCTTCCCATGTGGTCCCATATTGATTTCATTGGTATTGGATCTTGGACTCCGGCGATACTTAGATAACTCCTGAAAATCAATTATAAAATTAATATAGAGCGAGACATTTGAAGTTTTTCGTTATTTGAAGGCGATTGAAAACGTGTTCGTAAAAAAAGAGAAAGAAATTTTATCAAACGACCTTCTAATAATATTAAAATAAACACGCAGAATATGAAACAAACATTATCAGATATTGAAACATTTCAACTGATATGTTTGAACTATATCTTTAAATCAACAATGGATAATATGGTTAAGGTAGATAATAAGCAATACAAATAAGTAAGTTATCAAAATCGCTTCTCGTTAAAAATGTTTTATCTATGCACTGTAATTATTTAGTGTTAGTTTAGAACTTACTTCTGTTAATGGTTGCCGAACTTATTTAGATCTAAACTGACAAGCGGTAAACTAGTCACCATATACCGGCAACATATACAGCGTGTCGTTACAACCGCGACAATAAATGAACCGCTACTTGCCAACAATCATAAAAAAATGTAAACGTTAAAAAATCCATAATTAAACAAAAAAATATTTTTCAAGCAAACGAATTAAATAAAAAGAAACAAAATTTGCAACATCCTATACAACTACAACTGACTGATTCATACATTCAGAGACTTTTTCATTCGTTGCCACAGAGTCGCATTATTGTCTCCTAACAGTATGTTTTATTTAATTCTTTTAAATTCATTCAACTCATTCATATGCTTTGTGACCTTTACAAATGAATTTTACGTTACAGTTTTATACGTAAGGGTGTACTAAAATTGTTTGTTTTTTAAAATTTAATTACTCCGTAAACATTGATGCTTAAATGATATGAATATTTAATATAATTTTAAAAAGTTATCCTATATTTGTGTTTTCATTTATTTTCGCGGTTGTAACGACACGCTGTGACTTTTATAAAGGTGCCCAAATTCACACAGGAGGTCCAGACTCGGTAGTATAATCGTTTATTGAAATAAAAACATTTTCAAAAAAAATGCCATTCTATTCGCTAAAAAACAAAACTTGTTGACAATGCGGTACTAGTCATTCATAAATGCGTCGTATACTTTTGAAACGAACTTGTGTGCGTGTTAGTTATGAATGATCGCGCGTAAAATAAATGAGTTGCCCATAAATCACGCACTTTCTGAGATAAGTTCAAATGAATGTAATTAATTAATTACGTTTAAATATTTATCATTTTTGTATAGCTTTATTAACGTCCAGAATTTTATAAAAAATTGGATACACTTAGAAAAGCCTCCCTGTATAGAAGTCTTAACTATTTTCTTTTTTTTTAAAAACTACGCGTAAGAAATATAAAAAGCCTTCATGCTTCTGGATTGCCAACAACTAATTTTTATTAACTAAAATACCTTCAAAATATAATAATATTCTAGGTACCAATAACCATACTTCACATTGATGGGTAGCCGCCCAATAAATACTAATTAATCTCTATCGATTTTTATGTTTATCGACATTCTCGCTTTCAGTCAGTAGACTATTCATCCTTTCAGCTTCATCCATGGAACACAGAGGTCGTAGAACAAACAGATTCCATAATCTTGATCCTCTAGACCCTCCGCCATGGTTTGGGCCGTACATAGGCTTTTGCGTGCGTCTCTCTATCTAATTTGGGAGGTTTCACCTATGGGCCATCGGGGCTCCCTATGTGACCTCGTTTCTCGATGGCCGTTGACGGTGGTAATTATTGGCTGAGTGCGGTGAGAAAGCATTCCATCTGTTGTAATTGAACACACATAGATTGGTAGCACAAACACTATAAAAATATGAAGAGATTACACGTACTGTGTATACTCCTACAACAGTCGATGGCCGTCGGATTTGATGCTGGATCACACAGCCTTTACATCATGGACAGAACTCTGATTGACTGACAATAATAAGTGATGTTGCGGTTATTAGTTTTTAAATCACTAACGTTTCTGAAACACTGATCAGCGTAGAAGTTAACTAATCAGCTGTCAAATGGCTTTTGAAATGGTATTTGAGTTGCCAAAAGGATTGTTAAATTGATTGCTTTTTATTGCATTTCAACGATGTATGATAATCGATTTAATTTTAAATGATTTTTATCACGGTTTTAAAATTATTACGTTGAATTACATCTATCACTATTTAACCGTGGTAGGGCCACACAACAGTGTTCGCTGTTGCACGAATGGACAGGTCCGTCCGGGTTAGTACCACGACCTCACAAAAGACCGTAAAGTAGAAGTGTTGCACTTCTGCGTTTCGTCTGGTGAGTGAGGTAGCCGGGCCCACTTCATTTAAAGTCGGCAACCGATCTGTAATCGTACGGGTGTAGCAAATGTCTTAACATCACGTGAACCGCCAGTTCGTTTGCCACTTTCTCACATAAAGAAAAATGTATCACATTGTTTGCATGCCCAGATATTGAAGGACTACGTCAAAGTTTCTTTAAACATCACATCAACGGCAGATCTATAGCTTGTCATATTCAGAGAATTTTTGAGCTAGGTCATCATTCGTCATAACATCTCTCCGTTAAGTTTAACTCACCGTTCAGCCGTGGTAGATCAGTGTACGGACCCGAGTTACCAGGCCGTATTCCAGGCAGAATTTCATTGTAATGTTAAGCGCTGCTAACGTCGGCTTCGTCGATGAAGGAAAACATCGTGAGGAAACCTTCTTATAACCGAAATAATTTAAAAATATATATTGAAGATGCAGACTGAAGTTCTAAATGAATAATTTTATACTAATTATGTGAGCTGATGAACATTCTCCCCATTCCGGGTATAAATGTAGGATAGTGTATATTGCTCGTAACAAATACGAAAAATGGAAGAATCAATTATGTGTACGTCATTTCCCGTTTGTTCACTTCGCATTAGTTTATTTTTCTATTATATAAGCCACCTTAAGAGTTAGAAGTTACAAGTATGCTTTCATGAAATTCCTGTGATAAGCGGATGACGGTTCACCTTATCAGGCGTTATCGGATGACTCGGCTCAGAGCTAATAGAGTGCTCTATTGCCGACTGCACATTTCAGAGTAGAAACTGGGTTACGTTCGGGGAGAATTCAGTTTATCCGACACATCAGAACTGGCCACATATCTTTTTCACTATATAGTGTAAAACAAAGCCGTCCCGCTGTCTGTCTGTCCCTATGTATGCTTAGATCCTTAAAACTAAGAAACGGATTTTGATGCGGTTTCTTTTTACTACATATAGTGACTCAAGAGGAAGGTTTATATCCTTACTAATATTATAAACGAGAATGTTTGTATGGATGGATGTTTGTTACTCTTTCACGCAAATACTACTGAATGGATTTTAATGAAACTTTACAATAATATAGTTTATATATCAGAATAAAACATACGCTACAATTTATGTACATATTTTTATGTATATCTTATCTGTCTGAGTTTTACGCATTCAGCCTATTCTACGCCGACGTAGTCGCGGTCAGCAGCTAATGTAAAGTGCAAAGCCGGGGCGGGTCACTAGTACTACATAAATAAAACCTGCTTTACCTTTTCCTTTTGAACAGTATTATACGTAACTTTATCAAAGGCGGCAACGCAAATGCGTTGATTTAATGTGATAACATTGATTGCAAATGCAATCATATGTTATCACTTAACATCAGGTTAACCACCAGCTCGCTTGCCACCATTCATCTATAAAAACGTATTCATCTATAATCATGTATGTGGTATGGGAGCCTCACTTAAATATTTTTTATTGTTTTTTAGTATCTGTTGTTATAGCGGCAGACAGAGAGTGGAGTCTAAGTAATAAGGTGCCGTTTTACCCTTTGGGTACGGAATCTTAAAACATGAACTTCACCACTCCATTTTTCGGTACTTCATTACAATTCCTTTAACGCTACGGTTCCAATGTTTTACAATATTGACGTCATAATGTGTATTTAATGACACAAAATCTTATTCATCCGACCCAGATAATGAGTTCAAGCTAAAAACTTCTACAATTAACAACGCTATTACCGTCCCTAACGACGTGATTAGGGTGACATCATTTTTTATGAAGATATTTCTTACCATTCATATATCGTAGTGCCAGGGCTACTGCCTAGATATAGCAAATTTAAAGTAAAGTAAAAGTAAAACATACTTTATTGTACCCCAAGAGATATTACAGTATATATAATAAAAAAAATACACGGGTACAACAGGCGGCCTTATCGCGTAAGCAGCGATCTCTTCCAAGCAATCTTAGGGCAGAGAAATTCTTCTACTAAATAAATATTAATAAAATTACATACATAGAAATACAAAATATTAAATTAATCCATAGCTTGCAAAATAACTCCGCTTTTTTAAACGTTAACACAAATCTAATCGTACTTTTAATATCAGCAATCTGTAAAATTCAATTGCAAAGTTTTAACTGTGGAGTCACGCAACAGTGTTCGCTGTTGCACGAGTGGGCAGGTCCGTCCTGGTTAGTACCACGATCTCACAGAAGACCAGCGCAAATAAGAAGTGTTACAATTCTGCGTTTCGTCTGATGAGTGAGGTAGCCGGGGCGCACTTTAATAAAAGGCGACAGCGCATCTGTAACCTACCGCTGTTGCAAATGCCAATGGACCTCGCTTATTATTGTTTTTGTTTATGTTCATAAAAAAAACATTGTCTTTACTTTGGGATAACATTATCCTGTGTTGTAAGGGCGTTTTACAAACATAAATTACACGCGGACAAACACCCAGATGCGAAACAACTATCTGTGGGTCACACAAATAGTTGTCCCGTGTGGGAATCGAACCCACGACCCCCGACGCCGAAGCAACTGGCAACTGTGACACGGAGTCATCGAGGTATCACTTAACATCAGGTAAACCGACAGCATCCCTTCTCACATAAAGAATCTAACCAACACGGTACCGGTTTCCAGGAGACAGAGACGATAATAATCGTGAGCGTGTTCGGGGGCGCGTGGCTGCTTCTTATGCTGCTAGTGATAGCGCTGTTCGCCCAGCTGTGCAGCCTCCGGAGGAAGGTCAAGGAGATGCAGTGCACGGGCCGCATGAGAGTGCAGTGAGTTCTTTTGAGCTTCTCGAGACGGTAAACGATTGTCAGCTAGTAAAGGAAGAGAGCCGCGCCCGTAGACATCTGCCACACCAGAGGAGACTCAGTTTATCGTCTTCTGGTACTCAACGGTTGGGCCAGAATTAGCACGGCAAATTTGAAATACATGGTGTAACTTAGTCCGGTGATTTGAATAGAAACACTCAATAGCATTAAAGGCGAGCGCCCGGACACTGAGCTATCACGGCTCTCAATTACTCGAGCAATTATACTCGAGCAACCTGAGTTCGATCCCCGGTGCCGGCACCAATGAAGTTTTTAACTTTAAGTGCTGACTTATCACGTGCTCCGCGGTGAAGGAAAACATCGTGAGGAAACCTGCATATTAAATAATAACAAAAATAATAACAAAAAAATATATATTTCGAAAATATGTGAAGTCCGCCAATCCGCAGTGGGGCCGCGTGGTGGACTATGCCCTGATACCCTCTGTATAGAGGAGGCCTTTGCCCAGCAGTGGGACATGTATAGGCTGTTACTTTATTTTTACTCAATAGCAATAAACCAACATTTACCTCTCTATTCATTCAATGTTTGCCTACCAATATTGACAGCAATTTTATGTTAATTAAATGATAAATGTTAATAAAAATACAAAAGATCAAATAGAACTTTTGGGGGGCACTGCTAAGTAACATGGAAATCATTACTTCACCATAAGATCATCACATCAGTGTTGATAAACGCACCTACTTAAACTTCTCTGAACCACCGCAAGGCTAATGTAGATAAGGCAATGGCACTACGCCCGCATTCGTCAAATAATTTGTGCATTTAAAAAAAACCATATTACGCAGTAGCGATAAACGAAACATAACTCTGGTCAAAGGCAAATACGGCATATTCCTTTCAGGAAACTCAAGATGAATCCCGACAAGAACTACGCATTTAGCAATCCCTCGTTGGTGCCCGACGAGGAGCTGTCCAGGCGTGGCTACTCCATGTACGTTGGCTCCGAAGAGGACGTGGAGAGCGGACGGGGCACCGAGCGGTATGCAACGCGGTGAAACCTTTTTCATCCCCCCATAGATATACTTTTACTTGGATAAGTACCACGACCTCACAGAAGACTGGCGTAAAATGGAAGCATAATACTTTCGCGTTTCGTCTGGTGACTTTGGTGGCCGCAGCCCAACTTTCATAAGGTTGTCAACGCATCTGCAACCCTCTCACGTAGCAGATGTCCATGGGCGGCGGTATTCACTTAACATCAGGTGAACCGCATGCTCGATTGGCAACTGTTCACATAAAAAAAAACTTCTACGGACATTTTGAATATGTTGGTATTCAAGACCATTGTCTAGGTTTTTTTTAATATAGGTAGTGCTAAACGAACTAACCCACCTGATGCTAAATGATAAACGCTACCTAACACGTACATAGCTAGAAGTTCCAGAAACGTTGCATAAAAGAAAATAAGCTCTCTAACAATATTTACCTTTCTCTGAGTACTCTAGTAGGTACATATATGATTTAATTTTGAACGAGCAATTTCTGTACACATATGTACATAAATTTGTATCTAGATCAGCTTCTCATATATAAGTTTGTCTGCATAGGCGTTATTTCGAAAGTAGCGCGATTTTACTCATCATTGTTCCATTATATCAGCATCGTCATCACTTAAAATATTGAGACACTCGAATTGGTGTCTCGGATGTCATATAATATATAAAATACGGAGAAACTCGTTAGCCCACGTAATAACTAGATTACTAGTTGCATATTTTGTTGTCAAAGATGCATTTGGTATATTAATATCAAATGCATCTTTTACAACAAAATTTTGCATGCAACGAACGCGGAGGTAGTAACGTTTGAATGCCATGAAAACTCGGCCGTTCCATCTAACCTACTCGTTGTACTGGCCTATCCCAAAGAGTTTAGTTGAGGAAATATATAAACATATCAGTAACCTATACTTGTCAACTACCATTTTGACGACCCGAATGGCGTAGTTTGTAGTGTACCTGCCTTCTGTGCCAGAGAGTGTGGGTTTGATGCCCGCTACTGGAAAAATATTGTGTGATGAGTATAGTGTTTTTCTAGTGTCTGGGTGTTTATATATGTATAATGTGTATTTATTTACAAAAGAAAAGTATCTTTAAGTATGTCTATCAGTTTTCTAGTACCCATAGTACAAGCATTGCTTAGTTTGGGACTAGAGAACGTTGTGTACATAATGTGTCCTAAAAAAATATATTTCAGCTTAATCTGGATGTCTATTCAAAACAATAATCTTCACAATTAGAGTTTCGTTGACTCACGATCTTGCCAGCACACCAAAGCTAGCGTCGAAGCCCATTCGCTTAGAACTATAGCCACGATCCGAGTACAAACTCGACCGGGACCTATCCTTGCAAACCCTTCGTTTCCTCCAGGCAGACGGGTGGGCAGTTCGTAGAGGAGCTGACACGCGAGCTGGACAGCAGGCAACAGAGGCAGGCCAACGCTCCACCGTTCCTGCTGCAGAGCATAGAAGAGAACAAGAAGAAGAACAGGGCCCTGAGCAATCCGGTGGCGTCGCGGGGCCGTCAGAGCGACACAAACCCCAATTTTATTTACTAGAATACCTAGAAAACCATTCGGTTACCATTGAACAATGCATGACGCGCGTGCCATTGCCCAAGCCAATTGTTTTCCCTGTTTGCCAAATTTTCGACGGTAACACGAATATTGAATAACCTGTGGTTAATAAGTTAAAACACAAATGAAGATCACTAACGTATTTCTACGACATACTTTTAAAGTTACTTAAAATCCTAAAATAACTGAAATATCCGCTCCACTGGATATTTTATTGGTTTCAAATTCAAATATCAGATTCCTATTACAAAGCCTTACGAATTACGATGTCCAAATATTTATTTAATTAGATTTAGCAATGACATTATCACCGTTTTATCTGTTGAATACGACCATGATTAAATAACTGAACCAAGATTAAATTGGTCTTATCTAAGATTTGAATACTGAGGACGCAAAACAGTGTTCGTTTACTAGATAACACGAAAAAATATTAAAGAACAAAGTGAAAGAGTCTAAAGCAGCACTATGCTCTTGTTTGTCCATGATATTTAGCATTTTAGCAAATGTAGAGAGATTTTTAGAAATTTAAATTGTTTATAGTGCTAATCTTTGCACTTAAGATTGAACATTAAAACATGTAGAAAAAACGACAAGATCTCGCCGAATCGATGTCGTTCGCTTCAAATGCTAAGAAAACCGACAAAATGTTAACGAATTCTAACATGCGCTTTGAAGATTTTGGCGTCGGTGTGGTAATCAGCCGTTTAGCTCAGTGGCTAGAGCGTCAGGCCGCGAATGCCGAAGACGTGGGTTCGATTCCCACAGCGGCGACAATCTTTTCGCACTTTTTCTACATGTTTTAAATGTAGAGAGATGTTTAGACTTTTGTAATTCCGCTTTTGTAATTTTTAATGCGAGGTTTTTAAGGTTTTTAAGGGGTATATTATTTCATCATAAATCGAAAGAAACGAAAATTTGGCACCTCGGGAGGCAATAAACAATAGCTTTTTCCATACATACCGCCAGTCCAAAGTTCGCCGCAACCATAAACAATATACCAAAAACAAGGATATCTGTGAAATATCCTTAGGTTAGATAGGACGTGAGTGATAATGCAATAAAAATATGTTTTTCCTTAATTTTCCATTCGAAAAATTCAAGTGAAAACAGCTAGTTATAAGTTGCATTTGTGTTATATTTGTAAGTTTATATAATTTATTAAACTCGAAAACAGATATCAGATTTTATTTAAGTAAAACTTTATTTTCACTAAACATAATTAGATCACAATTAAAACAATAATCACCACAGCGCCATCCTATCATCATGTTAACAAAACTGTAAACACATTAATAGATTGACACCTTATTCACAGGAGAAACTTACAATCTCCTAACTAGGTTACATTACCTACAGTATTTACTTATTCTTTAGTTAAATTCTATATGCATCACTGATAAATAAAATTCTAACTGCTATAATAAATACTAGGTCTCAAAAGCAGCTTAACTATTTAATTTGCTGTCTGTACAATCAGTAGTTATACACGATCTTTTTTATCCTCTTTGCCGGTCTGGGGTAGACTCTGTTCGTGAACTTCTTCCTGCAAATTCCCGCTCGGCATTTCATGCGCGACTGAAGCGAGTTTCCTCTGAGCAGCCTCACTTTACTTCTCGCTTTCGTCGCGTACACTCTGCTATCTTCTGCTACTTCTCCACTGGTAGTACCATGGGCTTCTTCAAATTGGGGAGTACTGAAAACATCGTTTGTACCTTCATTACCATCGCTTGCCTCAGGATTGGGCCCGACTGCGAAGTACGGCTTGAAGCCTCCGGAGGGAATTTCGTCTTTCTGTTTATCGCGTTGTAACGGCTTTAAATATACTTGGCCGCCTCCCTGGCCGTAGGGTCGGAAATCGGAATTACTGTAATGGTCATCAGTTCTCTGTTCGTCTTTTTCTGCTTGTTTTTTATACACCTGGCCATAGTTGTAAGGGAATGTGGAGCTGGCTTGCGACAGGTCGCTGGGCTTAAAGCGCTCCGTTATATCTAACGCTCCACCCTTTAACTTTGTGGCTGCCACGTCGAAGGTTACGCTTGGTGGCAAAGTCGCTCCGTACAAATCTCTGTCGGAGGTCCTGGCGTATAAATGTCCCGACACCTTCAAGTCGTCCGCCCAATATTTCGAAATATCTGAAGATTAATATAAACCCGTATTAGTATTGAGAAATAGATCGAATACATTTAAATGGAATCAATGATAAGATGGCTATTACAGATTACATTGTGACCATGACGTGTGTGATTATTACAGACATTATCATAGATTTTTCATAAAATTACTCATACTGTTTAAACAAAAAGTAAATACGGAAAATGTACATCCAATGCTGTCTGTCAATCTGTCAATTAATAATGTTTATAAAAATAAAGGGATTTCCTTGTTTCTTCTTTCGTAAGTGGCGTCATAAAAGCATACAATACACTTTCAAAATCTTTGTATAACGTAAAATCGGGACTTATGAAAAGACTACATGTTAACAAACAAACTAACAGATCTTTTTTATAAATATACTTTTAATTGATTACCAAGCTACATTTGCTTGGCTAAAACACAAAATGAAGAAATACAAAAATAGTGTGGAGTCCCAATCCACAGAATTACTTGTAAAGTAAAGTAAAGTAACAGCCTATACATGTCACACTGCTGGGCAAAGGCCTCTTCTATACAGAGGGTATCAGGACATAGTCCACCACGCGGCCCCACTGCGGATTGGCGGACTTCACATATCTTCGAAATATATATTTTTTTCTTATTATTTCGAAAATATGCAGGTTTCCTCACGATGTTTTCCTTCACCGCGGAGCACGTGATAAGTCAGCACTTAAAGTTAAAAAACTTCATTGGTGCCGGCACCGGGGATCGAACTCAGGTTGCTCGAGTATATTGAATTAAAGGCGAGCGCCCGGACACTGAGCTATCACGGCTCAATTATTTGAATTACTTGTATTAAATCAAAATAGAAACTGCAATAATTATCATATATTTCTTCATAATTCAAATAAAAAAGTTCTTAAACTATTAATATTATTGCTGCACCACTTACAATCACATAAAAAATATTAGATAATAAACAACTAGAGACTCGCCCAGCCACCACTCTGGTACAAATTTGTTTTAGTGTCTTTCTCATAAGAAGCTGTCATAGTTCACTCCGCACTGTACTGTCATTCGCTTTTTATGAAATATACAGTATGAAATATACTCTCCCAGGTGCCGTCACCAATGAAATTGTTAATTTTAAATGGTGACTTAACACGCGCTCAGCGGTGAAGGAAAACATCGCGAGAAAATCTGCACATTTTCTTAATAGTAACAAAAAAGCAGTGTGGTCGCGTGGTGGACTATGCTCTAATACCCTCTGTACAGAGGTAGCCTTTGTTCAGCAGTGGGACTAATTACAGGCTGTTACTTGACTTTATCACATAAATAGTCAGTGACTTTTATATGAAATGTTTAATTTTAAGAATATCAAAAAATCATAAATAAAGAAAGTAAAGATTCGCGAACTTTAAGTAAAAATACACATTTGAATAAAAAGCCTTTATAGCCTATATCGAAAAAAAAAAGTTCAAATGGGTGCAGAACTTTCGGAGATTCTCCTCCAGACGCACTAACTCTCGAAATACAGTCATGTTATTTCTCTGCAATATTTTATGTATTTGCACTAGTGTGCATTATGTTTTATTTTATTGATGTAATGTATTATTATGCATAGTTAAAAAATATTAGCATTCTGAACTCCTTCTCTATACAAACAATAAGTGTGGGATATTTCATACTCCTCCGTCCGCGCAATTTTCGTAAAAAGTGTACAAAGTTTTTGCTTTACGTATTAATATATAAATTTTCTGGATATGTCGATCTTTTAGATTTCACGTTCTATTGAATCTATTTAACATATCGCGTTTGTCGTTCACGCTATAAATAAACAAAACGAGTTGTCGTAAGCTCTCTTTATATGTTGCTTTATGCGTGAAAGCTGCAAATATCCACGAGTAGGCACTAATATCGCTTCCCTCCACTTTCGATTTCTGTTTGATTTCGTTTAGGGTTGTCGCCACGGATGCCAACTTTCCTAAGTTGGCCTAAATTTAAGAAGAAAAAATTAACAATAGAAGTTTTTAGGAGGTAAATTCAAACCGAAATGAGCACACTCCACGAAATGAACCACATTTTGCAAGTTTCAGTTAGAATTTCGTAAAATTTACCGCTATTTTAGTGGGTTTTCGCAATGCTTTGTATTTTTTAAAAGTTAGTAACACTGGTTATCGCAATAAGTAATAATTATTACCAATTCCAATCTTGAATTTAGTTAATTCCAAGTAAAGGAACAAGACGTTTATCGTAGGAGGCGAAATTTAAGTCAGTTTGTTACTAATTTCCCTAGAAATAATTTGAAAACACAAAGTAAGTACTTATACTGTGCAGAATTAAAAAATACAGACCTTTTTCAAGGTCATTTAATAATCGGTCTTAAACAATGACAACGAAGTGTCAAATTAAAACGATGCAACATACAGTCATCGGATATCTTAAGTGCAAGTCAATGACATATGTACAGCAACAAGCTTGTCACCTGTCACATTATGAATTCACCATTAGAAACTGTCCAACAATTTTATTTTATTTATAACATAAACAAACTAAATCAAATGTGCGACAACCCTAAAATCGACAAAACAAATGTTATTTGCTGCTCACTTTTACTGAACTAACGGGTTGGAGAAATTCTGTCGCGTGTAATCGCAAAACGCCGGTCATTATATATCTCCAATACACACACTTCTGCTTGAAGTTACAAAGTGAAAAGCGTAGAGTTACTTATCGATACTAATTGGATAATTACTCGAACAGAATGGTACCGTTCACCAATATAATACGTCGGTGACAGTCAATCTTTTAGAATGACTGACCTTTTAGAACAGGCGCTAGCTATCCAAAACTTGTGGATCACGATATTATACCAGTCGAATTTTGGTTGATCATTCACGAGGTTTTAACATAACGCACTATATGAAAAATAAAGAAGTCATTTAGAATCCAAACACAGAATAAAAGTGTGTATATCCATCCCCGCGTGGAGTTACCATTTGTGTAACCAACACAATTGTTTCTGATTGGGGAACAGGGTGTTTTACAATATGAAATTTCCGTTTGTAATGACCATGTAATTGACCATTCTAATGACAGAAAGAAGTAAATAGAGACATGTTATAGAGATTAAAAAATTATCTTACAATATAGAAGAAGTTTGCGGCTACCTACTCTAAGACAAGAACAGTCAGGCGACTTGGAAAAGTGACTGAATTACATTGTAAAGTGGACTGAAATGTTGCATTTAGGGATTGTGACATCGGTAGGGATTGCTGATTGCCTAATGTCGCAAGTAATATAAAATGGCACCTGATAATATAATTATCGTAAAACACATCATCAAGGGTGCTATATCTCACCATGTACAACTTTTTTTTATAATAAAATAGGTGACATCCACAAACAACTAAGTATAAACAATTTCAAACAATTTGTAAAAGCTACCTTAATGGCAAGGGCCTATTATAATATCCAAGAATACATTGAGGACAAGGATGTTTGGAAATGACTCTTGCTCTGCACTTGCAAGACCCCTGGCTGCTGCTGATTTTATACCTAATTAAGTGTGTACAATTGCATCAAAAAAAAATATAACAAAAAGAACAAGACCGCAGAGTTTCTTGCCGGTTCTTCTCTGTGCAGGTCTAGTTTAGTGAACCGATGGTAGATTTTTTGTTGACATTCAATAAAAGCTTAACTTAGGCCTATATTGAATAAATATACTTTGACTTTGACTTTTCAGGGCACATAAAAGTATGCCAGAATCATTCACAACCATTCAAAAATGATCAAGTGTATGATATGACAAAATGAAACTCAACTTTGATCTCGACGGTTTATCGCTTTTAGACCAAGTGACAGTTGACGAATCTGTCACCATAAAAGCTGACGTCACACACTCATGCATTTATATGAGGTCAGTTTTTATCTTAAACTATGTCGAGCTTTGTAGATGAACATTTTTATTGTAAGCTAGACGTCAGCGAATGTGAAATGAAATAGCATTAAAGTCGATAATGAGGAGTGAATAAGAAAAGAAAAAGTGGTCAGAAATATCATCTGTGGGCCTGACCTTCTTCATCAGTATTAGTAACTCCACCGCCGTGTCCACCAGCCAGCATCAACGCCACTACTACCAACCGCATCTGCATCTGTGCAAAGGTCATATCCGTTTTACGAAAGGAAAAAGTAATGGCCTATACAAGTCCCACGGCTGGGCAAAGGCCAGCTATATAGAGGGTATCAGCGCATAGTCAACCACGCAGTCCACCCCATTGTTGATTGGCGGTTTCGAACAACGCATCTGCAAATCACTGTTATCACTTAACATCAGGTGAACCGCCAGCTCGTTCGCCACTTTCTCACATAAAAAAACCTATTGGTTACAGTAGCCCATGAACATCTAACATAAATAACACGGTGGTAGGGCCACGCAGCAGCCTCGGCTGTTGCACGAATGAGCAGGCTCGTCCGGGTAAGTACCACGACCTCACAGAAGACCAGCGTAAAGTGGAAGTATGACAAATACTTTCGCGTTTCGTCTGGTTAGTAAAGTGGCCGGGGCCCACTTTATATAAAGGTGCCAACGCTTCCGCAACCCTCCGAGTGTTGCATATGTCAGTGGGCGGCAGTTATCACTTAACATCAGGTGAACCACCAGCTCGTTTGCCACTTTGTCTCATAAAAAAAAATCATGCAGGAGCTCGTGATTAGTAGAGTTTATTTTATTGCATTTATGTCTTCATTCTATTATGTCTGTGTTATTAAAAACGCTTTATAATTGCGGCAATGTGGTTCAGTGGCGGATTTACAAATTTGCCGCCACTAGGCCGTTCAATTTTTTCCACCCCTACCAAGAAAGTAACTCTCTCTGTCTGTCTCGCTTTCACGCCAAAACTCTCAGATAGTCTAGAGCCTGAGAAAGGACATAGGCTATTTTTATTTGGATTTTTTTTTAATGAAAGTTATTTATTTAAGGACTTCAACGTGAGCGAAGCGGGCGAAAAACTAGTAAATATAATTTTAATAATTTTACAAATTGAAATAGGTACCACTCCACCATTTAAGCCAAGTCATACCTACTGATTAAAAGGTTTATATGACGCGCAATATATGACTTGCACAATGGAGTAGCTATTTTTCCCCCAAATATAATTGACGTTTTAAGAGTGATCGTTTCGTTACTGTAACTATGTTCTTGTTCAGGTAATAACATAGCCAGCAGTCTATAATTTTCTTCATTTGTGAAATCAAATTCAAGTATATTTATTTAACAGGTGATCTAATTAATATGAGGTGTATAAGATCGTCTGAATATACGCGCAAACTAAAAGGCATATTGGATCTATTTTTAATGCACTTAAAACAAAAACAATCAATAAAGGAGAAGAAATAAAATTATCAAAGCGCCTTATTTTACGGTTTCTTTAACGCATTTGTATTCATAAGTTTTTCAAATCTACAAGCATTAAGTACCTAACAAATAAGCTCGTAAAGTAAAGTTTTAAGCGTGTAGCAATAAAAAATATAAATAAAGATATGTACAGACTTCCGAATAATGTTAATGGTCTAATGACTTGGTCAAATGTACTTAAGAAAAACTTAACTAATATAATTTCCGGTGGTAGGGCCACGCAGCAGCCTCGGCTGTTGCACGAATGGGCAGGCTCGTCCGGGTAAGTACCACGACCTCACAGAAGAACGGCGTAAAGCGGAAGTATAATGCTTCAGCGTTGCGTCTGGTGAGTGAGGTGGCCGGAGCGCAATTTTCAAAAAGGTTGTCAACGCATCTGCAACCCTCTTGTGTAGCAGATGTCCATGGGCGGCGGTATTCACTTAACATCAGGTGAACCGTCTACTCGTATGGCAACATTTTCACATAAAAAAAATGAAACACTTAAAAATAAATTTCATCATGATATATTTAAAAAAAATGTTTATGTTATCACGCATATAACTAAAAAACTAGTAAGAGCGTTTAATGTTTCGAGGATCTGACTTCCGAAGACACCAAGTAGAAGTTACTTAATGCAGATAATAAGCATAAATTACCTTAATTTAACTGGTACAATTTCGTTTCCACTCAGATCCGCGCTCCTCTCGAGACGGCTGATGCACGAAAGTGACAGAAGGGGATCTGACGCGTCGTATTTAAAGTCGTTCCACAACACTGACGCATCCGCCGACTACCTACGTCGAATTTTACTCATTTTCTTTTGCATAAAATAACCTTTTACTGTGGCACAGCCACAATACTCCGTGGCGCATTCGTCAAGGTATCGGCTTCGGCGTCGGCGGTCGTGGGTTCGATTCCCACACGGGACAACTATTTGTGTGACCCACAGAAATAGCTGTTTCGCATCTGGGTGTTTGTCCACGTGAATATTATGTATGTAAAACGTCCTTGCAACACAGGATAATGTTATCCTAAAGTGTTTTTTTAAAAAAACAAAAAAATAAATCTGCTGTTGCACGAATGTGCAGGCGTCTGTCCGTACCACGGCCTCACAAAACCGGCGTGACGTGGAAGTATTAAGCAATCGCGTTCCGTCTGGTCAGTTGACCACTGTTCACTTTTTAAAGGTATTGGTATTGTAAATATCCATGTTATAAAAATATGTAATGTTAAAGAAACCACATCAGTGGCGGATTTACCAGCAAGCTGAGTAGGCTAGAGGCTAGGGCGGCAGATTTTAGGGGGCGGCAAATTTGACCCGATTTTTTTTCTCTTACAGAATAAAAACATCGTTGTATACATAAAGGAAAAGTAATAACGTTATTCATACGTTAAATTTTTAAGACTCTTTTTGACTTAATTTTATTGTTAACAGAAAATTTAATAGGGATACTGGTCGTATTATTTTTAAACGGTAAATAATAAAAAAAATTAACAACGTTAAATAAACGAATAAATGCAATTAATGTGATTGCGAAATAAGGTATCGAATTACATAGGTCAGTAGGGACGGAAAAAATTGAACGGCCTATTGGCGGCAAATTTTTACATCCGCCACTGAACTACATTGTCGTAATTATAAAGCGATTTTCAGAACATGCCCGAGACATAAATGCAATAAAATAAACTCTCTACTAATCACGAGCTCCAACATGATTTTTTATGAGACAAAGTTGCAAACGAGCTGGTGGTTCACCTGATGTTAAGTGATAACTGCCGCCCACGGACATATGCAACACTCGTAGGGTTGCGGAAGCGTTGGCACCTTTATATAAAGTGGGCCCCGGCTACCTCACTCACTAGACGAAACGCAGAAATGTAACACTTCTACTTTACGCCGGTCTTCTGTGAGGTCGTGGTAGTTATCCGGATGGACTTGCCCATTCGTGCAACAGTGAACACCATTGAGAGGCCCAGTTATCACAGTTAATAATAATAATTAAAATAAAAACATACACATAAAAAATTTACAAAAAAATCTTTTGACATTTGGAAAAACAAGTGTTAAATAATTTGTTAAGATATTATAGCAAAGCAAGGTATTGTATTAGTTTTATTTTATAAGTTCGCACCGTGTTGCATATAAGAATCTTATGAGATTTCTGTCGCTAAATCGCCGTATAGAGGCGGCCGCGTATTCAACGGACCCGGGGAAAGTCTAACACCTCCCGTCAAGCATCCACCCACAAGTACGAAAACCCACTAAATTATCTTGTTTCCCAAGATTTTCCTGCGATTCTAGGCCGCTTAAATTTTAAACGGGCAACACAAGTGATCTGTATTCTGTACTACCCAAAATGGTCTACGATTACAACATACTTCTTTTTGGTGAGGAAAAATTAAAACCATTATAAACTTTCAGACCTTGAACTTGAAGATAAATTTGCTAACTTAGTACTCCAAACTAATATCGTGCTTTATTGTTTAGAACTCCGAAATTTTCTGTATTTTTTTTCATAATAAAATAGTTTAATTCAAAATTAAACAATCATATACCTTTATACAATTTTGTTCGTAAGGTACAAACAAGTACACTGCTCGGTACTCCGCAATATTCTTGAGGTATATGCTTGCCGAAAAAAGTTCGCAAATATCTAGTTTCTTACAAATGACAGGTTTCCGTTAAATCATAGATAAAAAACGTTTAAAATATGAGCTTTTATTATGAGAATAAGCAAAATACCATAGTAATAAATGTTCAAATCTTAAGTTCAAAGTCAGCTTGGTATACCTCAATCACTTCTACAGTCTTCTATATCCTATTTACTTTCACATTCTTTTCAACAAAATCTTTTTCACCCATTTAGAATTTTGTATTAAGTAAGCTTAAATCATTCTGTTTCAGTCCACTGCTGGACAAAAACCTCCCCAAGGGCACCCAGTACAAGATCTTCCGATTTCCTCATCCAGCCATACCAGCAGTCTTTCTCAGGTCATCGTTCCACCTGGCAGGGGGAACACCCACACTATGTTTGCCGGGACGTGGTCTCCATCCGAGAGCCGGTCTAATCCAACACTCACCGGTTCCACGACAGACTTATCAAGTTTATAGCTTTGCTCATATCTATCGATCCAACCCACACTTGCATTGAAACCCGCGTTTATTTGTGAACAGGTCAGCTTGTATCTTGTATTAACTGATGTTTGTGCTTTCAGTCCAGAGACTATTAAAGCTTCATCTGACGCAGAACCGGTGGGCTAGCTACAATCCACGGGTTTGGGCCCTCCGCTGTGGGTAAGGCCGCGCATGTGCTCATGCGTGCGTTTAACTACGGCATGTCAACTTAGGGCCATCGAGGTTGCGGTGCGGACCGAGACCCCGATGGCCGTCGACTGTGTTTTTAGCTAATCAGTGGCTGGGGGCGGTGAGAACCGTCCTGGAACGCGGGTGTACCTTGTGTACGCGTTGTGTTGGTCTCGCCGTGCTCGGAGGCGAGGGCGAACTTGTGTTTGTTGCTACACTAACTGTGTGTGTAGTGTTATCCGGCGGGAAACGTTATACGACGGTGGGTCTGTCGTATATCGTTTCGCGGGCGACGCTTGTTGACGCTCGCGTTTGGATCGGGTTAAACAGGCGAGCCTTTTGTTCGCCGATAACGAACCTTGTACCTACTGTAAAAACAAGTTTCCGCTAACCCTTGAGGTGAAGACAAAAGTAGTTGATAACTGGAAAACGGTGAAATTCCGATTGCTAAACGGTTGTTTTTTCTTTTTTTTTTTTATATTTTAACATGAAAATTGTTGCTTGACAGACGGTTAACCTGATATTAAATACCGCCGCCCATGGACGTAAAACACATGCGGGCTTGCAGATGCTGACAACCTTTTAAAAGAGTAAGCCCCGGCTACCTCACACACCAAACGAAACGCGAAAGTAAAACACTACCATTCAGACAGGTGTACTGCGAGGCCGTGCTACTTCCCCGGACGAGCCTTCCCATTCGTGCAACCGCAGTTGTTACCGCCAATTATGTCCACCTTAAAATATCTGTTAAACCGATATACCAATTGCTCATAAATATCGCTAAGGCCAACTAAAGGTAAAACCAAATGGAATCTAGAAATCAGACTCAACAAATGAGGCAGATGAGAACATTAAAAGTAGCTTATCCCTATCACCATAAAAGAGCTAAATCATTTTTGAGTTACAAAAGCATATTTTATTTATTTAATGAGACTTAACAGATAATAATAAATTAAGTTTAGACTTGGTTTAGACTACTGATGCTTCTCATAGGTTAGGTTTGTAAAATGTCCTTACAACACAGAACAATGTTGTCCTAAAGTAAAGGCAACAGTTTTTTCAAAAAAGAAAATAGATAAAACGCAATACGTCGCTTCTCTCCTCTCACGACCAAAAAATTTCCTTAGATAGTGATATTCAAAACAGGCCTATATGTTATACATAACTAACAGATAAAAGCGGAGTCCTGAATTTAAAAATAAATCTTAAACAAAAATTATTTTCATCAAAAAAAAAGACTGAATAGTTACGAATAAATAATTTATTGACAATCGCCAACTTTAGCATAGAAATTCAGTAGTAATATTTCAAATATAAAAGTTCGCCATTACAAAAAACATTACACTAAATTCTAAATATCAACTGTCCAGTGTCCACTACCTTTTACCTAAAAAAAGGGTTGCTTTACCCTGTATAAAACCGCTGAACAAATGTTGATGAATGATATGATGTATTCGTAACTCATACTAGGTATATCAAAATTTATAAAAAATAAATTTGCGAATTTTTGTCGACAAAATGTATATTTTCAAGAAAATTTTGTCAACCGCAGTTAGAGTTTTTGTTTTTTTTTTTTTCATTACGTAATATTACAACTCATCAAATATTTTTAATAAAGAGTAAAAATAAATAGATGTTTATTACTAGCAACTTTACAATAATCACGATTTTATCTAAGTAACATCCTGTGATGGAACTCTACCATCATCTTTGTTTGTAATTTGTATATTTATAGAAGAGATGTCATTTCTATTGGTATCTATGTCGATCTTTAGCTCTCCACCACCAAATATTGGTTCTTCCCGTCTCAGCTGATCTATTTCTTGCTGCTTCAGCAGTTGCATTCCTGACTGGCCCTGTAAGTTCAATAAGTTCTTTATCCATTTCCCATTTTTGATGACTTCACTTTCGCTTGTCTCCTGCTCTATGAAATTCAATTCCCTTGTGAGCCCTTTTAGGTGTTCCACATTCCGTTGTATTTCCAAGTCATTATTAATCTGCCTCTCTAGTTCCTTATTTGTGCTCTTTAATTTTAGCAGATCACTGAAACTTGAGAGCTGCCTCTCCTCCGATTCACACACACTGTTCATTTTATCAATTTCCGCCCAAGCCGCAGTGGATATGATAGATGTGGAGGTGGATCCTCTATCATTCCTAGTGAAACTCAACACGCCCATATCAGAATCAATTTCACTATCCTCCTTTACAAATTGCAATTCCTCATAACCAAATGGAAATTCACATTTCGTGTTTTCACACATTAGCATCTTCTCATCCAAGTTTATAAAGAATAGTCTTACAACAGAATGACATAATGGACATATCTGAAACAATGGTGAATGGTTAAGTACTGCATAAAGTTTCAATTGTGAAAATATTTGAAATATGGATATTAAAGTATATATTAAAGTATTCGCAAAAAAAAAACCACAATAGAAATTAATAAAATTGAACATTCTCCTTTCTGTATATATAAAAAATTTTCTTAATATTATCTCACTCTGCTTACTGACTTTAACAAAATGTTTAGTTACTATGTACTAAAATAATAAACCACATGGGTGCCACATAAGTTTACAAATTGCACCATAACATATAATTAATAGTCATACATTTTGATGATGTGGTGGCTCAGTTGCCAAGGTATTGGCTTCGGGGTCTGGGGTCGTGGGTTTGGTTCCCACACGGGACAACTGTTTGTGCAACCCACACATAGTTATTTCACATCAGGGTGTTTGTCCTCGTAAAATGTATGTTTGTAAAACATCCTTACAACACAGGATAATGTTATCCTAAAGAGAGGGCAATGTTAAAAAAAAATTAGTGTAACATATATATTTGGTCTCATGACTACATTAGATCTGTTAGGTTGTTGGTACTTACTGACCAAACTTCCACACAAATCATATTTGTTCTCACTCTAGAAAAATTGTATAGTATAAAAAAATAATATATTTCAGTTGTTTATTATATCGATATATAGGTATTTGTATGTAACAATTTTTTTAAAAGTACTTTACTTTTCTAGCTTGTTTGAAAAATACTATACATCTCTTAACACTTTTACAATACTATGCTTTATTATACGGTAATGCAAAACCTGCCAAGGACATAATCCATATACAGGTGACAGGACAGTTTCTCCTCGGTTTCCTTCTTATTAATGATTTTGTTCATATAAACATATGTTAATGATATTACACATACATCTATGTGTAAATCATTCCTAAGTGATTAAGAAATAACACTTAAATGAATGATTTATACATACTATAATGCCCTTCTATATATGCCTTTCTTATATGTAAAAACTTAGGATATAATAATTAAGTGAAATTCCTTGCTGCCCCAAATATAAAAATAAACTGAATGGCGTATAATATATACATTTAATAAATACAAAATAAAATAAATCAATAATAAATTACGTCTTACCCGTAAGATGTCCTCATTTAAAGTATCGTTTTCAATCATGTTAAAAATGAAAAATATTAATTTTTCATTTCATATAATTATATTTAGGTGGAATTAATAAAAGCTTTTCTATGACTTTGATTTTTTTTATTTCGTCAAGTGTCAATTATAATCATTTATTTAGATAATGAGTAACATAATTGATTATATTTAGCCGTAACTGACTGGCAAGTGCACAGCACTTTTTTTATAGATATATAAATTCAGATAATTTCAGATATTTAAAGTACTCTTTGGTCCACAGCCACAAAACCAGATAAATTAAAAGATATATTTCAGAAATTTACAGTACTCTTTGAACAAAACACTCACTAGTGGTCATTTGGTCAAGTGTCAATGTCAATTGTCAATTTGTCAATTGGCAAATCTTATCTTATTCTTAGTTATGGCTCGGCACCATTCGTGCCTTTAGCCAGTGTCAAGTAGTTTACATTTTTTCAACAAAGCGAGGGAAATGTATAACGCGAATTAAAATAATTAAAGAAAAAAGCACGGGAAACCTTCGAACCCGCGCCCGCCAAGTTCGAAGGTTTCCCGCCCAATCAATTGGCAAATCAAATATAGGGAGCCGCTTAGCCGTGTTGTCACTTTAACCTTAAATCTCGAGATGCATCAGTCTTTCTCGTCCACGAATTAAACTTATTTACTACCGCTATTACTCTGGGAGCGTTAACATCATGCATATGTGTAATGTAGAATATCATAATATTACGCCTAACCCTTTTTTTTTGTTTACGTGGGGGAAATGCTTACGCATACCCGCCCTCGCGGGGGCAAGAGCGGGTTATGTCGGACTTGCACCGACTAAAACCCCCACGATGTTCCACCTAGGTGCATATCGGCAGGGTCACGGGAACGTTTTCGCACACTTCCGCGACCCTGCCAGCGTGCCAGCCATAGCCAGCAAAGAGTACATTAATTATGTACTCTTTGCTGCCAGTGCTGGCCACCTCAGCAGCCACCTCCCGAGTATCAAATCCCCTCTCTTCCAGGTAAGGCGCGCTGGAACATTCAGCGCGCCTTCCTACTCGGCCCTACTTTTACGGAAAACGAATTCCCCCGAGTTCGCTAACCGGGGCCATGAGAGCCAGGTGAGCTAGTGCTAATGAGCAGCAAGCCTTCCAGCGGTGGACCTGGTCTGTGGCTTCGCCACTCACAACGTTTCAGCCGCAGAGGCTAGGGAGAACGTCGCATCGCAATACCGACACTACTCTCCCCCCGCGGCCCCACCACCACTGCATCAGCGGTGCAGCCCCGCCGAGTCGCGGGTGATAGGGAGAGCGGCAAAACGCAAAACCGACACTCCGCAATACTCCCCCGCGACTCCTCCTCGGTAGCAGAAGACCGGGAGAGTGGGTCCTCTTCCACCACCCTCAACCTGTCTCTTGCACCCGCCAGCACGCATCCAGAGTGGGCTCAATGAGTCCAGTCCACTCGGAGCGGCCCTCTCGGGCCGGCCTTGCACCACAGGCCAGCCCAGTGTGGGTTTCTCTTAGCTTCACCATGGGTGACCAAGCCACGGCTACTAAGCCCCTCCGCCACGTCAACTCTAAAAGACATTTGGAATGTTAATTCATTTCGATTCGTACAAAGTCGATAATCAATTATTCAAAATTCAAACGAAACTTTGCTTGCATTGACTAGAGAGAAAATTATGTTATAATCTTACAAAGCAAGAAATAAAACAATTAATTTTCATATTTTTGTTAAAAAAATACATTCGACTTGAACTCCTTTCTTTTTGAAGCTTCCACGATTTATATTACCGATACGAGGATTTTAGATCATATGAGTACGTTTTCTGATACCTACTCGATATGTTGTTACAGTATCTATACAAAAAGTACTTGGTATCGGACGGAAGTATCGAGTAAGTAATATTCGTATTTTCTCATATCGCCATCCTTAAGCATTAAGCACTACACGAGCATAGCCATCGATACGGCAACTACCGTAAGATACGGTAATTCGAACAAATAACCAGATAATACGGCGTATGGCAGGTTTTGCATTACCGTATAATAATATATGGCAATCCAATGTTGATTCACAAGGCAATCTTATAAGTTAAATATTCATTATTCCAACCAAACAAGTAATAAATTGCCCTAAGAGGCTCAGACTCAGCACTATTAGATAATAGCTTGGGTTTTCTGGAAATTACTGCAAGAGTCTGCAGAGATTAGAAAGCCAACCAAAATACAAATTTAAATGTCATGAATTACTAGCAACAAGTTGCAAAGAAAGCAAATTAAGAGTGATTTATCTAACAAAGTAGTTCCATTGTTGAAAAACATGTCACCAGAAGACGTGCATTTTTGCGAGAAAATGCAAAATTAGGACAAACAATGTTAAAGTAAACATGGCAGCGAAGTAATTGAGTCGATTATAAATTTCTGGATTGATGGATATGATATTAGTGAGTAGGTTATTTTTTTTGTCCTCTTGTAAGTTGTACCTGTAAGTTTTATTTAATTAAACTTAACAATACAGCAATTTCATGATTTTCATTTAATAATACGGCAATCTGGAATATCTAATACGGCAACTCTGTAAAACTTGTCACGTAGATGTCAATTCACAATTTCACAATTGTCATTTTATTCCCTTATAATAAAGTCCAAGACGTACAAGTGCAACAAAATATAATATATAGTCTGTAATTCCTTTACGAAAAATTTCTGGAAAGCATTTTATTCTTCATAATATAAAATTTAAGTATTCTTTATCATTAAAATGCCGGCCAAAGCTGTATGTGTTTTAAACGGCGACGTTAGCGGTACAGTTTTCTTTGATCAAAAGGTATTTTTAATTATAATTATCTTGTTAAAAAAACCAGTCATAATTTGACCTTGAGAATAACGATTGTAGAGTAGAGTAGGTTACCGGGTAGGTTTTTATGTTTTTGTTGTGTATTTATATAATTGAAACGCTCATATTGTACTGTCAATATCTTCGAGTGTTCTAGTAGACATTTACTGCTACTAAAAGCTACTTTAGCCCATACCGAGGAGCTAAAGTAGCTTTCAGTTGCTGTTCAGTGGCTGCATACATTATTATCGGTATTACCGATAATAATGTATGCAGCTCTATTGTGTAACTTCGTTATTTTATGTATATAAGAATAAACTTCGGACTTTATTTATCCGATATTTACCGAAAATGTTTGAAGCGTGAGCAAAGGAATAGGTGATTTTGTATCCGATTAATGTTACATCAAACTGCTAGTCCAAAATATCAAATTGCGTCATATCATTGGCATCAACAGTTAGTAATGTAATTTTTACTTCTCTTTATTATCTTTATTTTCGACTAAGATGAATAACTGCACTCTATATGTCGTAAATCAAGAATGTTGTCGCGAAAATAGTGGTTCATTCTAGCATTTTGTAATCCTGTCTAAGACTTAAAACAAGTCTGTTTTATGCAGATTCATTGCTACTTAAAATACTCTATGCAATATTTAATTTATTAAAGCCTATTTTAAAATTCATTTACATTAAATATTCACCCCTAAAAAAAGTAAAAAAAATACAGATTAATAAGCGAGAAAGTAGCATAACTATGAAGAGTGTGTATATAGGGGTTCAGTAAATTTATAGCATCAAAATTTCTACTTTCAGGATGATAAATCTCCAGTAGTTGTCTCTGGAGAAGTTTCTGGATTGTCCAAGGTAAGAACTAATTGAAAGAATTGTGTACACATCTCCAATATAGTACTGAACTTTACGTCTAAGCAAGACAACAATGTAATTGAAATAAGCTTTCTTTAAAATAGTTTAGGCCCAAACCTTTCAACTAACTGCTATACAGCGTGTTGTTACTATCGCGACAATAAATGAACACACGTCTAACGCTACTTGCCAATACTCAAAAAAATATTAACATTAAACAAAATCCATAATTAAAAAAAAATATTTTTCAAACAAACTAATTAAGTAAAAAAGAAACAAAATTTGTAACATCCTATACAACTTGCGCCACAGCGTCGCATTACAAGCCTCTCCTTCTAACAGTATGTTTTGTCTCTTTTAAATTCATTCAACCCATTCATACTCTTTGTGACCTTTACAAATGAACTTTGCGTTACAGTTTTATATGTAAGGGTGTTCTAAAATTCTTTGTTTAGGAAAATTTTATAACTCTGTAAATATTGATGTTTAAAGAATGTAAATTTTTTATACTATTTTAAAAAGTTATCCTCTATATGTGTACTCATTTATTGTCGCATTGGTAACGACACGCTGTATAAGAGAAGACTGTATATTAGTAAGAGCTTATAGCCTGCGAGAGCCTCTTAAAGTTCTAATAAATAATGTTAATAATAAAGATTGCAATCGTATGTTTATTCAATAAATAAATAATTAAATAATATAAAATAAAAAATACGAATACATGTAGGAAACAAACATTTCATAGTTTTTTAATGAAGCAATAATTAAGTATTATAGTTCAGGCTAAAGGGTTAAGGAAAATGTATGAATAAATGTTATTTCAATGTAACATAGTGTGTCATACTGACTGGAAATAAATAAGAAACAAGAAAATACAGACATAACACTTGCTATTAACACATCATTACAAATACTGAGTTGAATTGTTGTTCCACTTATCAAGGTTGAAAAAGGTCAAGTGACCTTGAATGATAAGTAATTGATTAAAGTGTATAAGTAAGTTGAGTAACACAATCAAATGTACTGTAGTAGCAAGTACTACCATTCTGAATTAATTCAATGGTGCTATGTTGTGGTCAAGTTACATTTGAACAAAATTTTGCTTATCATGCTGATTTCAAAATGCGGCTGTTAATGATACTACTCACAGTGTACAAGCATGACACTGATTATAGTAAATAAAATAAAGTGAATCAGTTTTTTGTGAACAAGTGCTGAGTTTGGAAATCCCCTCAACATCTTTGGTACAACTCAAAAACAAACATCTATCAAGTGTTTAATTTTATATCTCACTTCTGGTTGTGCATAGTGAAATACATGATGGAGTTGAAAACTTGTATTGCCATTTACGGTGGTAGGGCCACGCAGCCTCGGCTGTTGCACGAATGGGCAAGCCCGTCCACGTAAGTACCACGACCTCACAGAAGACCAGCGTAAAGTGGAAGTATGACAAATACTTTCGCGTTTTGTCTGGTGAGTGAGGTAGCCGGAGCCTAATTTTCAAAAGGTTGTCAATGCATCTGTAACCCTTGGGTGTGGCAGATGTTCTTGGGCGTTCGTCCGCTCGTTTGACAACTTTTCGCATAAAAAATTATTTTTTACATATCTGAGCCACAACTCAAGAAAACAACCATAAATTTCACTTTTCTATTTATCTCCGAAATTACCCTACACACATTATATTTGCTGCTTCATTTCTCTGTTGAAGGGCAAGCATGGCTTCCACATTCACGAGTTTGGAGACAACACCAACGGATGCACGTCCGCCGGGCCCCACTTCAACCCCAACAAGCAGGACCATGGTGCCCCAGATGCCGGCATCCGTCACGTAGGGGACCTGGGTAACATTGAGGCCTCCGTTGATGGTGGAGTCACCAAGGTAGAGTAAAACATTATATCACCAGCTGCCTTTTCAATTGACATCATTATTGTTTAAAATAAATAAATAAATATTTTTTAGGACACATTTTTACACAACATTTTCCAGTCCCAAAGAAAACTAAGCTTGTATTATGGGTACTATAAAACTGATAAATAAACTTAAACATACTTTTCTTTTGTAAAAAATACATATGATATATATATAAACACCCAGACATTAGAAAAACACCAAAACATCACAAAATATTTTTCCAGTAGTGGGCATCGAACCCACACCCTCTGGCACAGGTACACTACCCACCACGCCATTCGGGTCATCGTATTTGGAATAACATTTACAGATTATATTGTGTCGTACTGCATGGGCGTTTAAAAATTGTTGCACCTTACTTTATATGACATACATAAGTGAATGCGACAGACTATATAGAACATATGATACGGAAAGAGATAGCAGTCTATAGAATTGCAATATAGTTACAACAATTGGACTAATTTGAGTGCCTCAACATCAGTGCGCTAGTGTCATATCTATTATCATTGACTGTGTATATACGGAAATTCCATCTAAGGGCACGAAAATTCGGCCCAACGGAATAGATGGCTCAGGATAACTAAGACATTAACATTTAAAGCAACTAGGTTTCTCTTATTACCATTGATATTATATAGGTTTCAATACTACAGAAATTAAATTTAAAATTTGATGTAATAAAACCCGAAAATATAGTTCTTTTCCAATGTTCGTAGAAATAAGAAATCATAATCAAGTTTTATTTAATTAGCTTATTGGCTGACTGCACCCCCATATATCATTTTATGCCCAATACCTAAAAATGGTATTTGTAATTTGTATTTTTTTAGCCAAAATCCACATGGCCTACTCTCTTTACCATATTTTATTTATGTAGCCGCGAAAAATCATTCGTATTATTTTATCTCACATATTCATATCTTAAAAACATTTATTATTTAGTGCTTACAAACAATATTACAATAATGACAGAAAAAATAATATAATTAAAAATATTAACTGCAATTTTTGAAAATGAAATATTGGTAACTATACAACTATAATAAATAACAAATATTTGCAACAGGTATGCATCCAGGACTCCCAGATCTCGCTGAGTGGGCCTAACAGCATCATCGGCCGCACACTGGTGGTGCATGCTGACCCAGACGATCTCGGCGTGGGTGGCCACGAGCTCAGCAAAACCACGGGAAACGCTGGCGCTCGCATTGCTTGTGGAGTTATCGGCTTGGCGAAGTCCTAAAGTGCTATTTAGAACAAAATCCTGGCAATGTGCTGGTCCAGATATTGTAGATTCAATAACATATGATGTATCACACCCAGTTGAAGTTAATTCCGAGTCAACATAATACAATGTTTGGACCAACACTATTATAGAACATTATAGGTAAAACACTTTAATGTTTTTAGCTAACTTATGTAACCAAATTGTATATGTACCTGTTCAAATGTTTTAGGCACTTTTATAGCATTCCTCTCAACAGTATAATGATGACTTTTGTAATGCTCAGTGACCTTGGTGTAGGGAACATTGGTGTTCGCCTTTGGTATGTCTCGGCTTGTTTTGTTTTACTTAATAAATATTTATAAGCATGCACATGAGTTTTTTTTTCATTAGGCACCTAATTTACATTTAGTCATTTCAAACACAGACTACAGTTGGAAGTAATAATTAATTATACAGCGTATCGTTACCATCGCGACAATAAATGAACACACGTCTAACGCAACTTACCAATAATCAAAAAAAATATTAACGTTTAACAAACTCCATAATAAAAAAAAATATTAAGTAAAAAAGAAACAAAATTTGTAACAGCCTATACAACGAGCGCCACAGCGTCGCATTACAAGCCTCTCCTTCTAACAGTATGTTTTGTCTCTTTTAAATTCATTCAACCCATTCATATGCTTTGTGACCTTTACAAATGAACTTTACGTTATAGTTTTATATGTAAGGGTGTTCTAAAATTCTTTGTTTTGGAAAATTTAATAACTCTGGAAATATTGATGTTTAAAGAATGTAAATGTTTAATATAATTTTTAAAAGTTATCCTCTATATGTGTGTTCATTTATTGTCGCGATGGTAATGATATGCTGTATATTAAATAAACTATTTTATTGAATTTCAACTTTTCTTTGCAAGCTTCTTTGCTTACAAAAAAACAATGATTTTGGCTAACTATTATTAAAAAGTAATGTCTTTTAGTATTGTTAACAGGTTTGTATACTATTGCTTTAAAGATATCAAGAATGTTTTGTCTCTCGGTTAATAGTCTATTGAGAGTCATTAATAACTGATTTTGGTATTTATTACACATTTTGGACAGAATGGCTAAAAAAGTCCCTATCATTGTTCATTGTATTGTATTGTGAAATAAATTTTCAGTATTAACTAGACATTTGACAGATTTTGATGTCTTATTTATTTATTACTACTGTTTACAATAGACAAACAGCCATCGCTGATAGAACTTCACCTTAAAATCATTAAACCTTGAAAGCACGAAAACCTTAAATCTTTTTAAAGAAAAACATAATTTAAAAAGGCAATTGTTGATTCTTTATACAATGTATTGAATTAATGTAATGTGAATAAAATTCAATATTTACCTAGGTAATATATTACACCTGTTTACAGGCCAAATTGTATTGTATTTGAAACAACCCATAAAATTGGCCCCGATTATATTTACCAAATGAAAATATGTTTACAGTTTAAATTATAGACCTATTCATTCTATGACAGTAAGTTACAAGCAATGTATAAATGTATATATTTTCATGAGAAAGGCAAAATTACTTAACCAACAAATTAGGTATTGGATGGTTAAGTAATTTTGCCTTTCCAATGAGAATATGATAATTGGATTCAGACTTGAATAAACAGTTAATTCCTCACTTCAAAATAATATTTTTTCTCTTTGTCAAATATTATTATAAGAAGCGAAAACTAAATAAATAAAAAAACATTTGTTTACTATGAATATTTTAATTGACCTATGGTATAAATGATATGTTCGCCCTTCGTAAAAAATATGTTTGTTGATGTATTGTGTGACTGAAACATTCTTGGTGTGCTATTGTTCCACTTCCACAGTGTTTCTTCACTTTGTATGCTTATACTCGCCCAATAATTATTTAATACCCGGCTTGACACATAGTCTGACATCTTATCACATAATTGCATTACTATTGTTGGTGTCAGAAATCCTTTAACAATTAATAGAGATATTCTACTTGACTCCAATGGTTCAGAGCTTTCTGGTGGACTGTAAGTGCTGACATAAGCTTCTTGCGGCGTCAAATTTGCACCATGGCTCAACATACCAACCCATTCAACAATCTCATCCATCTCCACTCCTTCTAAAGATGGTATCTCATTTATTTCTGGTAAAATTATTCTGCTCTTAAGTTTGCATACTGTCACAGTTATTTGTTTATCATGAAAGTATTTAGCTATTGATGAAGGACATACATTCTCTGAATTTGGCTCCCAATTTATATAAAAATCGAATCTTCCTAATTTACCTAATATGTGCTTGAGTTTGTCAAAATTTTTAAGATGCTTTAAATCTATATTTACTTCATAGTAATTGTTAGGTCTCTTTGTTCCTTCTATTCCTAGTGTTTGATAAATAAATTCTAAAACGTGAATAGTTAGAATACCATCAGGCGTGATGGCTACGCAGTTATCAACAATGCAGTTTTTGTCATCGGTGACACAATATAGACTTCCGTTTTTCACAAAGCTTTTAATAAATACACAATCAACAAGTTCACTGAGATGGCAGTCACTTAGCTTGTAATAATCACTGTCTTCTGAGATTACTTCCTCAAGCCCATTCGGTATTTGTATTTCATCTGGACAGGTTATTATAAGGCTTTTATAATAATTATTCATTTTGATTGTTTCTTTTACAGACTCTAGGTTTTGATTAACTGAATGTGATGTTATAACTTTTGGCGGTGAAAAATTTGTAACTTCAGGACAGAGCATCTTTATGAATGTGAATGGGTTGTAGCTTAAATTATAAAATTTAGTTTAAAAAAAATATTTATTTATGATATATCTTCAAAATAACCTCACTTTTAATACATATACCATCGATTCATCGGAAATCACCTGACAGAAGCCAATCGGAGAACATTCAACATACAAACAAAAATTATCAAAACACTAGGGATGCTCCGAACTCCGATGCCCGATATACATCGAATTCATTCACTCGATGTGCACAGTAGGATGCATCGAATCGATCCGATGTTTTGAGAAGCTATTGATTTACTCGATGTATTTTCATACAACATCGAATCAATGTGGCTAAAGATTATAATCTTACTACTATTACTGATTTATTCGGTAATCGACTAGTCAGTTGCTATTTATAAGAGTCGAAGTCAAAGAGTACATTATTAATAGAGCTATCACTGTCCTCGTGAGATTGGCGTAGTTGTGTCATTGTGTCAGTCTCAGTAACGTTCTGTTACACTGTTTAAAATTACTTCCAGCATTTTGCATAGTTGTTTTCTTTCAAATAATTTTTTTGTAATAAAATACGATTTTCTCCAAAATAAGACCAATATATGCATTTTAAACTTTTTTTATGAAATTTATCTTAATTTAAAATTATTTAAAAGACAATTTTGTATTTAGTATAATTACTTTTAAAACAATCGAGTGCATGCTAAATTTGAATCACACATTTCTTTATTTAAAATAAACATCAAAGTCATTTCTGTAAAAGCCCACGGGTTAGCAAAAAAAATTGTTTTCCGCACTGTTACTAAGAAATGATACTACATTAAGAAACTCATTATTTCTGCAAATGAATTTCCACTAAAACCTGTGGTTAAATAGGAAATGATTAAGGATACTTTTATTTTTTTATTGCTAATAAATACTCAAATATTTTTTTTATTTACAAATATTTAGACGAATTAACGTGAGCATTAAATAGTATATGATTGACCCGATTGGCGTAGTGTGAGAAGCCTCTTGTGCCAGAGGGAGTGGGTTCGATCCCCGCTAGAAAAATGTTTTTTGACAAACTATAACTCCATATATTTGTAATATTTATTTATTTACAAAAGAAAAATGTTTAAGTATTTTTATCATTTAGGTATTTGGGGCTAGAGAACGTTGTGTAAAAATATGTAAAATATTTGAAAGTATCTTATCAGAAGTCATCTTAATATGTAACAGTAAAAAAGATAAAGTAACAGCCTATACATGTCTCATTGTTGAGCAAAGGCCTCCTCTATACACAGGGTATCAGGGCATATTTCACTACGTGGCTCCACTTCGTATTGGCAGACTTCACATCTTTGAAATATTTTTTATTATTTTGATGATTTTGACGATGTTTTACTTCACCGCGGAGCACGTGATGACTTATCACATGCTCCGCGGTGAAGTTCACAACGACAGACACAGCAGTACTGCACTTAGCGCGGCAAATGAATCCACTTTTAAACAACTATTGCACCTACTGCCTGGTTACTGGACTTACTATCAGTTAAAATAGTAATCGAACGGTGGTTCGCGATAACACAATTAAGGATTTAAAAACTAGGGAGGGTGACACAGTGAAACTGGTATAACGTTGTATGTTTTATTTATAAATCGGCCGCACAAACGGCCATTACTTATCCTACCATCACATGTCGATTCACAGGCTTATTTACATAGAGATATCGAGAAGAAATGCGTTTCGCGATTGATCCTTAAGCGATGTAGAGCTGGTCGGCCGGCACAGCTTTGTACAGCGCCTCGACGTTCTTGAACACTTCCGCGACGATGGCGTGTACGATTGGGGGAGCGATTTCCTGCATCACGTCCTTCCAGTTCGTGTTGGCGAAGTCCACGACCGGCTCCGCTGTGAAATGAATGTCGGGAATAAACCTACGGCCTTTGGCGTTTCACTCGTTCCGTTTACAAGTGGTGTTATAACCTTATTCATAATATGGGTGCCATTTGATGAACACACGAAAAAAAAGTAGGCGTCCAATGTACGTACGTAAGAAATTCTACTTCTTTAGCGTAACAAAAGAAAAATAGTTGAAAATTTTATCCTCAGTGCCAGTACTCTTTGTTTGTGAAAAAGACATTGAATGGAATTGATAATGGTATAATTTAATAACGTGGATTTATAGGTAAATATCATAAAGTTGTTATTGGTTGCCATGGTGAAGATTTTTGTCTAAACGCGCCAAAAGAAGTATAGCTTCAAAAATGTATTTATCTCGCTAACTCACGTCTTTGGGGGTGACACTGAACTTTAGTAGAGCCAGCAGTAATTTATGCTTTTCGAAGAGGAGATACAATGACACTACAGTATCGATATTTATATTAAAGTAATTCGCATATTGAGAATAGTGAGTGTCAGAGACACATCCTCTTATGGGTTGGCGTGCATGATCACTTGGAAATTTTTTTCCTAGTTAAAAAACGTATTATGTAATATTAGTACTATAACTGATATAACTAGGTTGTCTGCAAATAATTACTATGCCTTTTGCTATGCCTTACTATTACTTTTCAAAACAGTTACCGTAATCTTATTTATCTGTGAACATTAAAGTAAGTTCGCTCAATCATTCGTTCAATCATTCGTTCATTCATAACTCCATTCACTACAGTTTGGCAAATATACGATGATACGCGCAAAGATCTTATACTTACAAACTTAAACGTTAGTAAGTGTAAGGTCTTTGGATACGCGGGACATTGACATTAATTTGACATAATAAACTAAAGTGATATTACTAAATAAAGTACCACATTGTGTTACGTACATTTTTTGTTTAAAAAATACGGAAATTCATCCCCCTTATATGGAACTTCGTCGCGCGTATCAACCTGCATTTAACAGACTGTAAACAAATATGGGTACGACAATGTGGCCGTCCGTACCTAGTACTTTGTTCCCGTTGAACAGGTTGTCGAAACGGAACGTGGCGCCGCCCTTGACCTGGAAACTGTCGCGCCACTTCACTATCTTCCAGTGTGGTTTGCCGTCCCCTCCCTGTTCCGTGGTCAAGTCCGTGATCGTCTTTATAACGATGTCGCCTGAAAATGAACACCAATTAAGTTGGAGGCAACATTAAAAGCTAACTGAATGACAGTGACCTAAACAATCTGCAAAGTCAATTCGTTACATCGATTAAATTAAATAAAAACATATGCAGTAACATTTCGTAACATTGTAATTTAATTTTTAAATATAACATTGATACGAGTAAGTAACTCGTAAGCAATGTTCTCCTCCACGCGGTCGGTGCCCCTGATCAAATTTACATGTTTTCGATTTATTTAATGAAACGTAAGTTTTTAATCATGCCGACAGAATTTTTTTAATAGGTTTGTTTAGATCCGGAACAGTAATTGTTCTAAAAAACGATCTACTGATAATTATTATCAGTAGATCGTACAAATATTTGTCGGGGGGGGGGGGGGGGGGGGGGAATCGAATCCACGTCGAGAACAATACAGTGTAGTGGTGGCGCGTAAAGTTGCAACCTGATGAATTGCCAAAATAATGTTTGTGTACCTACATTCAACAGTGTTGAAGGCTTGTCCTGTATCTTGTATTAACTGATAAGCTTCATCTGACGCAGAACCGGTGGGCTAGCCAGAACCCACGTGTTTGGGCCCTCCGCTGTGGGTAGGGCCACGCATGTGCTCATGCGTGCGTTTAAGTGTGGTGTGTCATCTAAGGGCCATCGAGGTCGCGGTTCGGACCGAAACCCCGATGGCCGTCGACTGTGCAATTAGCTAATCGGTGGCTGGGAGCGGTGAGAACCGCCCCGGAACACGTGTGTACCTTGTGTACGCGTTGTGTTGGTCTCGCCATGTTCGGAGGCGAGGGCGAACAAGTATGTTTGTTGTTGCACTAACTGTGGGTGTAGTGTTATCCGGCGGTGGGTCCGGCGTATCTAAGTCCCCTTCCTCGACCGGGTCGATGAGGACGTTTCGCGGGCGACGCTTGTTGACGTTCGCGTTTGTGTCGGGTTGGTAATTTGCTGCGCTTACCACCAGAGGGTTGGGATGATGTTCGGCTCTATCGAAGAACCGTTTGGTCAGGTCTTTAAAATATTCGCGAATCGTCGGGAGTCTGCAATCGCTGTGCAGGTCGACGTTGCGTTGATACCACTGCGCACCGGTTGCACGGCGGATGAACTTATTACTACTACTATTTGCAACTTGTACAAGCGAGTAGGGTGCGTGTGGGCGAAGATCATGCATGCGTAGGACATAATAGGTCGTACGCAGGTCTTATATAATAATAATTTGTGTCTTAAGGGCATTTTACTTTTAGCGTTAGTTAAATTGTGTAGCCGGCCGGAGACGAACGCGGCTCTATTGCGAACGTTATTAATGTGCCTAGTAAATGACATACGCGAGTCGAAAGTGACTCCTAAGTATTTGACCTTTTCTCCCAGGGGAGCGGTTGGCCATAAAGGGATATTTGCCCCAACTTTCTGCATTGACGAGGGCCATTATAAAGATGTGACGGGTAAGTACTTCGTGTGAAGTGAATCGCCACACTCTTTTCGGGATTTATTTCTATTCTCCATTTGCGGAACCAATCGCCGAGGCGGTCGGCGGCGCTTTGGAGTCGAGTGGTTAGTTGTCTAAGGTTGCGGTCTGAATAAAAGAGCGCCGTGTCATCCGCGACAAGCGCGAGATTGACGTGGGGGTCTTTAGGTATATCGCTCGTGTAGAGCGTAAAGAGCAAGATAGGCTTGTCTGATTACTGGAGGCGCAGGATTAGACGATTTCCTATATTGTAGGGTCCAATATAAACAGAAATTAAGGAATGTATTAAAGATAATTGAGAAAACAAGAGTAACTATTATTTTCTAGCTTTCTGGGTACTATTGCTGTTCGACTATATTCATATATATAATACTCACGTATTTTGATGCTGTATTTCCCTTTGCCCTGGACAGGCAGAATGAGGAGCTGTCCGTCCAGCACGTAATCTCCTTCCAAGGCCATACTGCAACGGAGGACCAGGGTCTGTTTGCCCTTAATACGGTCATGTCTGAAAAGTTCATATTGGTATTTTAGAATACTGCATCTACCTGGCTGAATGTTTTATATTACATCTATTTTGACGTGATAAGATGGCAAGCTACTGGCGGTTCACCGAAGGTTAAGTGAATCGCGGCCCATGGATATTTGCCCCCATAGGGTTGCAGATACGGTGCGACCATATAATAAAGTGGGCCCCGGCTACCTCACGGCTAGATGGAGTGACGACCTGTGCAAATGTGCGGGAAAACCGCCTGCTTACTTGCCACCTTTTCACATTAAAAAAAAACCAGTCAAGCGCGAGTCGGACACGCGTATTTAGAGTTCCGCACACTTATTCATAAAAACGGCAAATAAAATCATGTCTGTTGTATGGGAAGCCCCTCTTAAATATTTTGTTTACAGAGTACTAGTCTTTGGATATAACTTTCTAAGCAGTACACAATTTTATTTAATGTAATTAGAATATAACCGTTTTCATTGCCGTACATTGTAAAAAAAAATTATGAGTGTACTTATGTAAAGAAGTTATACTTCTGAAACTTCACGATATTATCGTGGCAACGAAGCATGCAAGTTGGTTGCTTCTCAAAAAACTGCATCATGTCGCTAATTGGGGGTCGGTGTGTTAGGACATCTTAAAAATTTTACTCCCATAATTTATTCCATAACTTCAAAAAGTTAAAGGCATGAGAAATTATGTTTAGTCCATATTTAAAGTTTTATCTGTTCCGTGTACGCACAACCAATAAATTAATCATCGGCATAATTGCTGGTAATTTAATTGTTTCTAAGCTCATTCGAATTATCTGTTATTAAAGATTTTTTCTTAGTTGCCTGTGCGTTCGAGATTGTTTTTAGGGTTCCGTACCCATAGGGAAAAACGAGACCCTATTACTAAGACTCCACTGTCTGTCTGTCCGTTTGTCCGTCTGTCACCAAGCTATATCTCATGAACCGTGATAGACAGTTGAAAATTTCACAGATAAAAATAATATCCTTCAAAAACAGTGTTCTTTGTTAAAGTTTACTCGTCAATTTTGCTTAAAATCTTAATACGAGTTTTATTTATCAATCACATTGAATAAAATTCGCATAATATAATATATTAATTATGTTTAAGTTCTTTTTTTTTAATTTTAATATTATTTTAAATCTGTTCAGAAACAACAAAAAGGGATGCCTTTTGGATTTGGGCAATAAAATATTTTCTACTCTTTCTTATCTATCAGCACGGCCTGCAGCAGATTAAAACGGTGGTAGGGCCACGCAGCAGCCGCGGCTGTTGCACGAATGGCCAGGCCCACACGGGTAAGTACCACGATCTCACAGAAGACCAGCGTAAAGTGGAAGTATGACAAATACTTTCGCGTTTCGTCTGGTGAGCGAGTTAGCCGGAGCCCAATTTTCAAAAGGTTGTCAACGCATCTGTAACCTTCGGTTGTGGCAGATGTCCATGGGCGGAGGTATTCACTTAACATCAGATGAACTGTCTGCTCGTTTGACAACTTTTCGCATAAAAAAAAAACCGTACCGGCCAAGTTCGCGTCGAACTTTCGCACGAAGGGTTCGGTACAATTATCTATAAAGACGGCAAAAAATCTATCTGCTGTATGGGAGTTGAAAATTTTTGCAGTTAGGTATACTTCTTTAGGCGCGTTATGAAAAAATGATGAGAGTGAAATTTTAAGATGCGCGCGCATCACTGTAACACAAAAGTAACACCTTTGAAGCTGTCCGCTAAACCGCTTTTTAAAGATGGCAGCATATTCTCAATAACATTCACTCGTTACAGTTCTCAATAAAGAATGCAGATGGCGCTTTCATAATTATATCCTTTTCCAGTCTTTTTGATACTTTATTGTAATTAGTTATTTGCATGAAACTATTAACTATGTCAAAGAAGTATAACTTTTCATGCGCGTACATGTTTTCTTATTACATTTTTAAGCTTTTGCCGCAGGTTCAAATCTTAGCAAAAAAGTTTTCGTCTATTAATCTAGAAATTTTACAATAAACACTATAGTATAAATTATGAAAAAAGGTCCAAAGACAATATTTCTTTATTCAATGTAAAGCAAAAAACTACCATCGGTTCACTAAACGAGAACTGTCCAGAGAGGATCGTATGATTTTTTTTTTTAATTATATAAGTTTACAGATATTGTTTAAATATAAAATTAGCAGCAGCCAGGGGACTTGCAAGTACAGAGCAAGAGTCATTTCCACACATCGTATAGTTTAAATGTTTGTTCATACGATTTTGGTTCGCTTGCAAATATTCCCACCTATTATACTTCACCGTGCTCCAATTTATTTATTTTTGATCGTTTTAGAACATACGTCAGCAATAAGATTGTCTAGATTTTAGAGACGATGTTTACAATGCAAAAATTATTGAACATTCGCTAATTCTAAACCAAGGAATTATTTTCACAGAAAGTAAGTATTCAAAGTTTACTTAGAAACCGTTGAGAGCAATAAACACATTTATTATACAATGATGGAGGTCAATCCTGATGAAAACATCACGTACCAGTTGCATAATAAAAGTTCTGTTATTGTTTGTACACCCAAATTATTATAATATATGTAAATGGTAGCATATAAAAAATAAATTAAATCAAAATAACACATAGGTGAAGACAAATGACGTTTTATTTATTTTTTTTGATCACTAGCTCATATCTTTACATATATAAATCTTAGGGTGACGCTAATAAAACAGTAATCCATACTAATATTATAAATGCGAAAGCAATAACTCTGTCTGTCTGTCTCGCTTTCACGCCAAAACTACTGAACCGATTTAAATGAAATTTGGTACACAGATAGTCTAGAGCCCGAGAAAGGACATTTTTTTTTAAAGTAAGATATTTATTTAAGGTCTTCACGCGAGCGAAAAGCTAGTAATAAATAAACACGAAATGCACCTAACATCTGACAAGAAGTATCTATATTCATTTCGTAGAAGAACTACAGATTTCCGTTATAAAATATTTAATTAACTGTAAACACATATCTACTTTTATTAGCAGGAATTAAATTGATCCATCATCATCATTGTATAGTATATATAACTATAAAAGGATAAGCGACGCTGGTAACATAAATGGCGTTCCTAACCATAACTTTATTACCTTAATTAAACATTACTTAAACGTAGTGATTACATTGTCTCTGTTCTTTACCAAACGAACATAACCGGTTCCGCTTGAAGGGATTTGTGCGATTTTTTTCCACGCCGACGAACAAACGACGTACTAATAGGATGAATCGAAATGTTTTCATAGCATACGTATTCATGAGAATGGAATTAAATTGTATGCTGAGAAGATAAAATACCTAACGCTTTACTTTGAACTCGTCTATTTGCAGAGTGAACATTTATTTATTTATAAATGAGACAAAGAATTCTTTTAACACAAAGTACTCGAAGTACAGCTAAGAAAGATACTTTTTTTTTTCAAACTGTGATTGCACCAAAGATCTTATACTTACGAACGTTAGTAAGTGTAAGGTCTTTGAATTGCACGGCTGAAATATTGAATAAATCTCGCGCTATCTGTGGTCGAAGTTTCGAATCGCCGCAGCCTCTTGTTGACGTGGAAAATTATAAATTTTTTGGCTTCCGTGCCCAAAGGGCAAAACGGGACCCTATTACTAAGACTCCGCAGTCTGACTGTATCTCATGAACCGTAATAGTTTAGATAGTTTAAACAGTTAAAATTTTCACAGATGGTGTTTCCCGCTGTAACAACAAATACTAACAAACAGAACAAAAAATATTTTAGTGGGCTCCCATACAACAGATATGATTTTTTGTATCACCCTTAGGACTCGGAAAAGTATACCAGGTATTTTTCCAAAGGATACCTTCTGTCACAATGTAATATACGGGAAAGAAGTACATTTGAATTATTAGACGATCACGTGGTAAAAATTGTATTAAATTTGAAATGTAAATGACTAATTACTTAAAATAAATTACTGCTATTGCTAACATTTGTTTTGTTAAAATGCAGATGACGAAACCATCATAAATTTATGTGTTACAGTTCTCTGCTCAATATCAGATATTGCTAGAAGAAATAATTTATTTAATGTGACCTTTTACAGGTCCCTAAACTTTAGTACCGATCGTTATTTCATATAATCGATTACGGATTGTAGAGTCGGTATATAAAGCTAATAAACAATGTGCAAACACATACACTCATGAACACACAGATAATAAATAATACGTGACATTCACAAACAACTAAGTATAAATAATTTCAAACAAAGCCTAATGGAATTCGCCTATTACAATGTCGAAGAATACGTTAGGGACAAGGAGTGGAAGGAAACGACTCTTGCTCTGCACTTGCAAGTCCCATGGCTGCTGTTGATTTTATACTTCAACATTTTTGTATCCTCATATAATTTAAGAAAAGAAACAAGACCGCAGTGTTTCCCGCCGGTTCTTTTCTGGACAGGTCTCGTTATTGAGCCGGTTGTGTTATTTTGACGTTCAATGAGAGCTTATAATAAGGCTATGTTGAACATGTTGTCGTTGGCGACACTGTATACCGGATATGACGTTATGTACTCGATCGGAGAGACACGTGGTCGCATGGAGCACTTGCTTTTCGGCTGTGTTTCAGGACGATGATAAAACCTAGTGGCATTATCATCGTCCTTTAATATTCAAATAATAGTTGTTAATATTCAAGTTCAGAGATAGTTAAAACATTAGAATCAAAGTATTAACCCTTATAAACAATTACCGACCCGCCCCAGCTCCGCGCGGATGCAATGAATTACACATATATCAACCTTCGTCTTGAATCACTCTATCTAGGAAAAGAACCGTATCAAGATCCGTTGCGTAGTTTCAAAGATCTAAGAAATTTTTACTTTGACGTAAGGGATACGATTAGAAATTTTGACGTTGACTTTGACATAAGTGCTATGATTCGGCAATTGACTACTTACTTGATGCTCTCGATTTTGCAATCCTTGAGGCCCGTCAGCACGGTGTCCTTGAAGGAAAGCTTCAGCGTGCCCTGGTCGCTGCTGATGTGCGGCACGCGCAGCGGGTCCAGCGGCTGCACCCCGAACTCCGGGATGCCGGCCGCCACGAAGGGGATGGCCGCCTGGCTGGAGGCGAGTATGCACTTGTCGTCGCCATCCTTGCACGGCTTGATGAACGGCGCTGCGGAACGCCGTGTCGCATGAACACAACTTCAAGGGATCATCGAGAAAATCGAAATCGAAATCGTTTATTCATCGACGTAAGTAACAAACGTTTCATCTATCGATAGTCATTTGTTTTAATCTACCACGAAAGAGAAGAAACTCCGTAGGTGACTATACTATAGGTGACTAATATAGGTATATTTTACAACTTTTTTTTCTTTCATTTAGAAATACTGGAAGCGATCAACTCATTACCAGGGGTTATTGTCATCATGGATCCTCTAAGTTACTGTTGTTATATTATAATATGTTTTTGTTACTGCAAAACAAGTCTACCGCCACAGTGAATTGTGTTACTTATTTAATTTATAACTTTAGTGCCAGTCTCCACGCTTAAGATGTTTTAGTGTTACTTATTTTTATTGTATTATAATGTGTGTATATCTACGAAGGACAAAAAAACCGTCATTCTTCATACGATTATCGCTTCGTCGACTGTTTTTGCGCAGATTTTTTTCTACTGAAAATTATACGCTATTACAGGGATATCGTATTGTTTCGTTCCTACAGTCTTTGTTTACTTTTTTGTTTGATGACATTTGGCCAGTCAATTTAAAAAAAAAATAGGCATCCTGTGCGTGCCGCCAATTTGATTCAATAAATGACGTTACATGTGAATTTTACGAGAAAAAAAATACTCCAATAATATTTTTTAAAAATTTTGTTTTTATTTTTAGTGCTAAACTTTTTAATTCTAAATTTTTGTTGGTAAATCAATAAAAACTTTCGGCTCTGCGGTATTCGAACTTGCGTCTACTGGTTTCGCGCCCAGACCCTTTATGAAATAAGCTAAGCGGCCGATGATTTTCACAGCATTACATAGATTAATTTCAAATGATTATTATCTGTATGTGGTGAAGGCCACAGTTAAAGAAAAAAAAAAAGACATGTAAGAAATCAATAATTTAACGTTTAATAGGTGGTAATGGAAGAAAAATAAAAAATATTTTCTTAAACATGAATTTCAATTTCAAATTTATACTATATATATAAATTTAAAATTGAAATTTATATGCATAAACTAGCTTTCCCGGCAAACGTTGTTCTGCCATATAAATTATTTCTAGGAAATTTGTAGGTTAGAAAAAACTGTTTAGGGTGGACCACCCTTAACATTTAGGGGGATGAAAAATAGATGTCGTCCGATTCTCCACCCTGGCCGATATGCACACAAAATTTCACGAAAATCGGTCAAGAACTCACGGATTTTTAAAGCTGCTTATATTTTGCAATTGTTAAACATTATTTACATTATTTATGTAGGCATAACACGATAGCAAAAAAGCCGATGATACAGTTCAATGGTCCATTTTTTTTATATTTTTTGCCAAGGTTAAACGGATCAGAATATTATAATAAATGTAATGCAAATAATATGTGACTATTTCGTTTCGTAAACTAAGACCGGCATAATTTTATGGCTTTGTTGACACACAAATGATTTTTTTCGTCACTCTGTTTGTGACGTTGGATATATTTATAGGTATAATTCTTCTGTACGTATGTCACTGAACTCTTCCTAAACGACTGGACCGATTCTAATGAGATTTTTAACCGACTTCAAAAAAGAGGAGGTTTTTCAATTCGACCGTATTTTTTTTATGTGTGTTCGGGGATAACTTCTTCATTTATGAACCGATTTTGATGTTTCTATTTTTGTTGGAAAGGAGATATCCCAATGGTGGTACCATGATAAGGAAACCAGATCTGATAATGGCATCCCAGAGAAATCGAGGGCAATCCTCAATTTGTTATAGGCGTTGACAATGTTTTTTTAGTTTTCTGTTTAAAGTCGGTTTTTTTTTTGGGTTCAAATTATTTGTGTATCTTCAGGTCGATTCGAGAATGGTTTAGATTCTTAATTCGGTCCACTACATTTTTTTTATTTCTCAGTACAGAAATATTCTCAGTACAGAATTATGTGTACAGAAAACGTCTATACGGATTTTATAATTTTGAATTCCATTATAATTTCTAAGAACGACACAGCTGTTATGTTTAGTCAGAGGTCTTTAACTCTAACCAATATTAAAAAAAATTAGAGATATAAAGATATAAAAAAACATGAAATACAAAGTATTTTTTGATTTGTCTGCCATTGGCCATGAGGTATATAGTCTACAACAGAAAAATATGATTACAACGTACATAATCACGAACAAATATTTTATATTACTTCATAAAGAGTTAATATCGTCTGTTTCATTTAAAACATTACCATCGCATACTCGCTTTCAAAGCATTTTTTATAAGACCTTGCAACGTTTACATTAAATGTATGTATATTGTCCTAAATCGTACATGCATTCCTCATTTTTACATTGAATAAAGCTCGCATATTGCCGCCTGCTCGTCACAATACCAACAATAAGTACGGCATTAACGCATTTCGTTCATAACTGAAGCTATTTAACAATAAAGCAAACCATTACTAATTAGTAGCCAAAATGTTAACGGTCCATGTTAATGACGCATGTTCATACTGCGCGCCGTTTAAAAATTGACCCGTTTTACATTATACATCGTTACGTGTCTTTACCACCGCGACAATAAATGAACACACGTCTTGCTTCGTGATCTTTACAAATGAACTTTACATTAAAGTTTTATACGTAAGGGTGTTCTAATATTCTTTGTTTTGGAAAATTTGATAATTCGTTAAATATTGATGTTTAAAGAATGTAAATCTTTAATACAATTTTAAAAAGTTGTCTATATGTGTGTTCATTTATTGTCGCGATGGTAAAGACACGCTGTATATAAGTGAATAATATGATAGATTATATAAAACGTATGATACGAAAAGGGATAGTTGTCTATAGGTTAGCAATCTAATTACACCAATCTGAGTGTCCGAGTGTCTATGCGCTAGTCATATTTGCCTCGTATTTGTATATAATGTCGTTGTTTTATGTATAATGTACGTTCAAACTACATACAATGCGACACCTGTTTAATTACCACATTAAGAAACTAATAGAAACTTTCAATTATCTATTAATTGGTTAACCTTAGTAAAGGCAAGCTCACCATGTTTGTACCGCGATAATTGGTCGTTTATGCAGCAATGACGCAAGTGCCATTTCAACTTCAAACTCCGGTAGAAATAAACGCAAAAGTGTAGTCTTTGGTTTTATTTTATTACAATTAATTATAAAGTTGCGAAGCAAAGGTTCACAAATGGCGGACATGATGCCTTGACTTGATGACCTTGAAAAAGTTTCGGGAAAATACGATGTATCTAAACCTTGACAAGTATGAAAATTATTTAGAAACAGATAAGTTTATCGGTGACATCTTAGGTTATTTTAGGGTTCCGTACCCGAAGGGTAAAACGGGACCCTATTACTAACACTCTGTCTGTAAAACGCTGTCTGTCTGTCTTTCTTTCTTTCTTTCTTTCTTTCTTTCTGTCTATCTGTCACCAGGCTGTATCTCATGAACCGTGATAATTAGACAGTTGAAATTTTCACAGATGATGTATTTCCGTCGCCGCTATAACAACAAATACTCAAAACGGAATAAAAAATATTTAAGTGGGGCTCCCATTTAACAGACATGATTTTTGCCATTTTTATAGATATCGGTAATTATGGAACATTTCGTGCTCGAGTTCGGTGATAGGGCCACGCAGTTTCGATGGTAGGGCCACGCAGCAGCCTCGGCTGTTGCACGAATGGGCAGGTCGTCCGGGTAAGTACGACCTCACAGAATCACCGGCGTAAAGTGGAGGTATAATACTTTTGCGTTTCGTCTGGTGAGTGAGGTGGCCGGAGTCCAATTTTCAAAAGGTTGTCGACGCATTTACACTTAACATCAGGTGAACCGTCTGCTCGTTTGGCAACTTTCACACAAAAAAAAAGAGTCCGACTCGCTATTGGCCGATTTTTTTTAGTTACAAGCAACTGACCAATGCTTGAAATCTATCCCATCCTACCTCGGTGATGGTGAACGCGCTATATATCAGTATATGCCTCTTCACTAAAGCTTACTTCAGTCTGTTAAAACGTGTGTTTTAGTTGTCTATGACATCAGCCTGTTCAAACACTCGTTTTAGTGTTTTAGTTGTCTATGGCCAGTACCACAAAGTTTCTTTGGTTTATTCACACTTTGTTAGTATTAAACATTGACAACATTTTTGAAGAGATGAAAGAGACAGTATATATACATATATACTATCACCAATCGTATTTAATTCCGAGCAAATACTAGTTCTTTCTGTTCATCCAATAATTAGTGCGACATCCAGGATAGCAATTTAAATGGATATAACCTTATTTCTCTCTTTTTAAGGGGCAGATGACGAACACACAAGCATTTAATACCTGGACAGTTACTTAAGACAATTTATTTTATGTATCGTACAATTATTCCAGCTTTGTTAACTATGCTTAAATTGATTCCGTGGGGTGAGGACCTGGTGATCTGTAATACAGGTTTTTACACCTATAATAGACACCACCTCCGCACAATTACCTGATTAAATTTTTTACTGAACCTGTACTAACCTATGATATTGTATCTTGTTGTCATGTATTGTGAGGATAATAAATACATTATTATATTATATTTCATCTCATGTTAGATGGAACAGCGCCCATGATCTTAAACTTCCCAGCCGAAAAGCCCAAATATATAAATGCTTCTGCATGGATTACGTTTATGTATCATGGGGGCACGTTAAATAGAATATAATACATAAACACACAGATACATAATATGAAGCTTATTAAAACGTGTTTTGAAGAGACATTGAACATTCGAGTTATGCAAAAAAGGACACGTTTCCAACATGAGCTTGTGACAGCTGAGTTGCGAGATCATTCTCAATGCTACTGGAGCTGACAGACTCGGCGTCCGTGATTGCCGACTAGGCGATAACATCATCTGGCTTTTAACACTAAACGCTTGTTTTTCAATCAAGCTAAATTTCTAAACACTTAGACGTTACATATGGTATACTTATTGTTCTAAAGCATTATCTACCGAACCGATATCAATGAAGAGTGTGTTTGTTTGTTTACATTTGTTCCTTATTTTTTTACTCCCGACATTCATTCAATAGAAGTGTGAATATTTTTTGCTCAATGAATTCACAGACTTTTTGACAACTTTTTTTTTTAATTTAATTGACTTTTTGTTAATTATGTTCTGTTTAAAATTTTTATTATTATGCATTTACAATTAGTGTCAGGGCAATTCCATCCGTTTTGATTAGATTTAATAATACCGGACTGAAATTTTAACGCACGTCTAAAGTCAATTCATTTTTATTTATTACATGAGAGTGGTTTTGTATGTAAATAACTTGTGGTGTACAATCCACAACGCAAAGCGTTTTAAGTGCCTAAAAAAACATAATTAACAAAAAGTCAATTAATATCAAAAAAATTCTTCAAAAAGTCAGTGAATCATCAAAATCATCCTTTAAACGAAAAATGTTCACACTTCTATCATATATTAGGAATATATACTTAAAAATTTTCCCCTAAGAACTTCTCTTTGAGCGCCAAGAAAAGCGTTTTTAATAGTCAACGGACACAAACTTTTGAGTATAAACATTATAATCGAGAAACTTACGATGTATTATAGTTCTAGTGTCAGCAATCTATGATGCACTAGATTAGACACACCCAAGACTCAGGTTCGAATCCCGCCGGGATTAGTTATAATCATTTTACAAAACTCAACAAATGGCAACACAGCAATGACACGAAATCAAAGATAAATATTTGCCTATGCTTGGGTAGATAAGTAATCTAATCTTCTTTATATATAATTCTTCTGTGCGTGCCTACGTCATTGAACTCCTCCTAAACTATAATACTAGTAATATAATTGTTTAATAGTTATAATAATATAATATTGTAAAATACAATAAAGTAAAGTATCAGGCTAGACATTTTCCACTGCTGGGCAAAGGCCTCCTCTATACTAATAATAATAATATATAAATAGTCCACCACGCGACCTCACTGCGGATTGGCATACATATCTTAGAAATATTGTTTTATGTTAGTATTTCGAAAATATACAGGTTTCCTCAGGATGTTTTCATTCACCGCAGAGCACGTGATAAGTCAGCATTTAAAACTAAAAATTTAATTGGTGCCGGCACCGGGAAGCGAACTCAGGTTGCTCGAGTGTATTGAATTAAAAGCAAACGCCCGGACACCAGGCTAGCACGGCTCACAATACTGTAATTTAAGTGTGTAACTGTGTTAAAAATAGTAACAATACATCTTTAAGCCTAGTTCAATGAAAAATTAATGTGAAGAAGTGGCAGCAATACTTGGACGATTATTAATATTTCCGAATCATTAAGTCGTTCAGTTTTAAAGATTTATTTTTGTTTATAATAAACACAACTTTAAATAAAAGAGAGTGATGTCGTCTTAGTAAATAAAATGCGAAACAATAAACACGTCGTGGTAGCCACATTATTAAGTGTGTTCACGATTTAAGGCAATGTTTATTCGAAATAAGAGAAATAAAAAAATCCAGTTAAAACCGTCAAATAGAGGGAAATAAATCGTACCGCAGTTGTTTGTGAACTTGAAATCCTAAGTAAATAACATAATGATATGCAAACTTGCATTCTTAAGTTAATATTACGGTGAGGACGTTGTTTGGGAATTATATTATTAATGCATTAGACCAAGGTCAAAAGACATTAAATTGAAAACAATAAAAAGTAAGAAATTTTAGGTAGCAGATTAATGCATCTTGAAATATATTTTTTTGTATTAGCCCGAATGCTCCGTATTGATAAATTAAACCATTTTACGGATTACATCGTGTTTTGTGTTAAATATAACTTCACATGGTTTCCAACACAATAACTAACACAACACAACTACGGTCACGGGTCTGTATGTCTCGTGATTACTAATCGTATCGCAAATCGAACCTAAGCTACACCATTGCTACCTCTAAGCTAAAGCAAGCTAAAGCAATTGTTTTCTTGATTTTACGCGAATATTATACATATTAAATGAAACTAGTTTACGGATTTTATCGCGTTTTTCATTTTGATTTGAACTCCCGACGTTTCGAACCCTTTCCAGCGTTAATGGTCGCGGGACAAAGTTCAAATCAAAATAAAAAACGTGATAAAATCCGTAAACTAGTTTCATTTAATAGAGCAAGCTGGTTAAAATGTCCTGTATAAAGAAATCGCTCACCAGACGCGGAGTTCGCGTTCCAGAAGAGGACGACGAAGCAGAGGTAGCCCAACATACTTAAGGTAACCTGTTGGTGCTGATTGTGTAGGCACTTCAAAACTGCGACCCCTCCGCCGGGTTTGTGAGCTGCCCGCGATCTCTACACTCTTATATGAGCCAAGCGGCGTGCTTGATTGTAGTGCGGCCACAATTCTCTAGGCGTCAGGACAGTCCGACGACAGTATTCAGTCAGCAAAGACACATTACCAGTTTCTAATTTTATGACTTATAAGTATTATCTTCAAGGCAAGCTGATTAATTATTATATTTACTGGGCTATCGGTGTGGCCATTACTTATTATTAGGTGCTAGTAGTCAAGTATTACCTAGATAGTGATAAAATAAATTGGCCTTGCGTCGCTGTGCGTTTTTCGTTGTGTTATGTTTGAAATTGTTCCGCTCAGTTTCCTTCGCCGGTTCTTTTCAGTTCAGAGGCAAAAGCGACAACTAAGGTGCAACGTGGGTTTTTTAATGAGTACCCCCATGTTCCTGGGGACTTTCACATGTTACAACCCACAAGGCGTGTAGGCATCGGGGATTCATAAAGGATTTTTCCCACTTAAAAAATATAAAGTTTTTGATAGATATGCAGTCACGTGTTGGAGCGATCATTATGGACCCGATATGTTATTTTAAATTTCTTAAAACCTTATCTATGAAACAATAACTAACCCATTACATGATTTCAAATATATCTTTAGACGCCCTTTATTGTGTCAAAATATTTATGAATATATTAAATAACATTAAAATAAAAAACGCAACAATAATATACGATATTAGGGTTCAAGTTTCTATTTCATTTGTCATGTTTATTGCTCGAAATTGTATCTATAAAACATGTATATATGAGGATCAAACAACATCACATCACAAGACAATCTATATATAGATAGGTATGGTGTAAAATCCTACATGATTTTGTAAATTCGGTACGTCCCAACTTCGTAGGAAACGTCATGGCTGCCCCATGTGACGTACTTAAGGCTACTCTAGCCATTGTCAACGTGATATTGTTGCATTAACTTATAAGCGGGCATATTCACGTCAAGCTGTTTCGAATCACACACTGAAGGTAGTTGATTCGTTGCCTTTAGGTTGCCATTTGCATATAAAGTTGTCTTGAAAAAGCGTTACCCATACTGACGGATAAGAAAATGTTTTAGAGACGGTTTTGTTTGTTATTTGTTCGTAATAATTGCGGAACCATTTATTTTTTTACTTGCCCCCCCCCCCCCTCCCCCACGCGGCTTCGCACGCGTGCAATGTGTTACACAAACCTTCCTCTTCAATAACTCAATCTATCTAAAAAAGCATACATAGGGACAGACAGACAGCGGGACGACATTGTTTTATAATATGTAGTGAAGAATTTATTCATAGAAATATTTGTCCGGTGATCGTTCACAATAGAAGTCTATCGCTTACTGTTTAAAACAGACGAGTCACCAATAACAATTCAAATTAAAAATCAAAGTTTCTTTGGCTTATGGCTTGTTCTAAGTTATTTTAGAACGTCAAAAAACCGACTTTTAGAAAATCAAAAAACCGGCAAAAGAAACTATCACCGGTTGTTGCTGATTGATGTAAAAAAAAGGTGGCATACTCCCCATCAAGTCGTGACCATATCGGAATCTTTACCATGTGATAATTGGATAAATATTGAGTGATGTTTACAATACACTTAATAACTAGCGCGAATCATAGTCGGAATTTCCGTCTTTATTATTAAGGGATATGCAATCGGAATGTGTATTAATGAGAATAAAATAAATAAATCGTTTGTTACCTTTAACAATACTAGTAAGGGACTATGTTAAAGCAATGTTTCACATTATTAGGAAACTATTCCTAACAAGTTAATAAATGATTAAATACATGTCACAGTAAGAAAATTCTTTCATCTACAAAGCCAAGGTACACAGAAATCAATTGTTTCAAAATTAGGAAAAGACCTAAACAGTTACAAAAATCTCAATACCATTTGCTTCTAATAACTTTTATTGCTCTAAACATAACTGGCCATAATCTAACCATACCTGCGTTATAGCTCGCAATTTAGAATAGATGCCATAGAATATTAATGGAACAAGCTTGGAAGATTTGTTGACCAACATTTCCACCTTCAGCTACCTTATACGAGATATATATCAAAACAAAATCGTATTAAAACTTTTTCACAGCGTGCATTAGTAATCGTGTTAAAAAGCGCAACAAAAGAAAAATAACTAAAAATTTTATCCCAAAAATATTTTATTTTATTATTTTTATTTATTCCGCGCCAGTACTCTTTGCTTGTGAAAAATACATTAAATGCAATTGATAACGGTTATAACATGGAGTTATAGATAAATGTCAAGAAGCTGTTATTGGTTGCCATGGTAATATCGTCACGTCGTTTTGAGGGTCGGTTTGCGCACGCATCGTAAAAGTTATACTATTGTTAGAGGAATAGCGAGACAACGTCACCATGGGCAATAGGGAAGTGTGCGGCACCATTATCTTGTTTTAAAAAGAAAACCTCTGCCCGATGGAAAAATTCAAACTGCCTTTGTACTGATTTTGAATTGGATAAAATGGAGTGTCTTTCTACAAGATACAATTCTTACAGATTAATGAGAAGTAGAATTATTTTGGTCTTTTGTAATTGATTTTGCTTTCTTTATAAAGTTTGTGGTTATTGTTTCTTTTAATTACATTCCACCTCTGGTCTCTAAGACTATATAAATTATAATTATATTCCAAATACTCCAAAAGTAGCATAAATTCAAGACTGTGTTTTTTTATGCTGCGATATGTATTTTTTGTTGTGAGAAGTTAGACGGTTTTTCTTAAGTATTATGTATTTTATAAAATGCATTTATGAGTCACAGACACCTTCACCGATTAATTTTGGATGTTTATAGAATTATCGCTGTTTTATTTTAAGCCAACCGTTATTTTTTGATACAGTGTACGCAGCTACTGGAATGAAGATTTGGGCCTTTTAAATGGAAAACTGCTACGTGCTCGCTTAGTATTCAAGGTGAGTAAAAAATATTGTGCTAAAAGAGTATGATAACAAATTAAACTAATTACTGTAGTCAAGACATCTGGCACCATAAAAACGATTTAATATATGATATGAAGCATTATATCGTAAATAGGCAATTCAAAAAATAAAAGCTTTGTTAAAAACCATCGAACCGTAGACCATTATGTCAAATGAACAGACATCTGACATACATACGTACATACACACACTCACACATGTAGACATACATATATAAGCTAGAACATTTAGTTGTATTCGTGTAAAAATGTCATGAGACAGGTACGCGATCGTTTTTAGGGTTCCTAAGACTCCGCTGTCTGCCTGTCTGTCTATCTGTCACCAGGCTATATCTCATGAACCGTAACAGATGAAAGACAGTTGAAATTTTCACAGATGATGCATTTCCGTTGCCACTATAACAACAAAAAAGAGAATAAAAACATAGAACAGACTTGATTTTTTTGCCGCCTTCGTGCTCGAGTCCGACTCGCACTTGACCGGTTTATTGAATGAGTCAGTGCATCTGCAAGCAATCGGATGTTGTAGATAATAATATATACGTATAAACACAGAGACACTAGAAAAACAATATGTTCATCACACAATATTTTTCCAGTAATCGAGCCCACACCCTCTGGCGCAGAAGGCAGGTACTCTACCCACTACGCCATTCGGGTCGTCAAAATATACACGATACAGATTCCATGGATATTCCCTTAACATTAGGTGAGCTGCTTGCTCGCTTGACATCTTTTTACTTAAAAAATCAAATTATAATATTTTTTGAATAGTTAAAATTTAAATCGTTACGTTAATAACGTAATAAAATTATGTTCATTATAATTATTAACATTATTTGAATGATAGTAAATGAATTTATACCGCCATCGGTTAACAACCTGCACATAAATAGCAACCTCTTGAGTCCACCTGTTTCCCAATCTGCGACACGTAGTCATGTTTAAGGAATTGAAATATTCACACATGCATCGGCTTCGATTCTCCAAAATTCTGAAAGAAGGCCAGGTTACGATGCTGCAGTGCCGTTGTTTTGAAATGCGTTTAGAGAGAATATGACGATCATCAGGACAACAGTTTCCTTTACAAATGATTTAAATGTGTGCATATTATTAATTTTCGTACCAACTATTATATTAGGTATATATTGATAAAAGCGGAACGTACAGACGCTGTCCTGTACACACGAATTAAACCCGACAACAGCGTAAAAAAAAGGTGAATCTAAACCTTTCTCGAATCGACCTGAAGCCGTTTAGGAGTTCAGTACACACACACGTACAGAACAATTATATTTACTAGCTATAAAATATTTTAGGTTAGACAAATATAAATTCGCAAGGAGGGTTGACGTCAGGCAGGCGGCCGGTTATAAAAATAAAGCCAATAACTGAAATAACAACATGTTTCCGAAAATAAATGATGGACATGTTCTGCCGACCCCACCTAGTGTCGGATAAGGGCAGGAGAAAGAAGATTATTGAAATGAGGGCAAGTTTTTATTTAGAAATCTTCCAATTAACACAATGGAAAAGAATTCGGAACAAAAGGCGGGAAAACTGTCTATAGACTTTGGCATGACAGTTTTCAAATGTGCATGTTATTCAAGCATTTAATTAAATGTCAAACGTGTTGCATAAGAACCTAAATCGCTATGCTATAAATGTAATAATGATTTGTTTACTAGAGCTAAGCCGGGCGAGGATAAATTATGTGGCGTGTATTTGTAACAGCGTGGAAAGATTATAACCTAAAGATGGCGTACTGGTAGTGGAAAAATTCAATAGACCAAGGAAATCGTGAGTGCGTTTTCCTTTTAGTTGACTATACTGAGTTTTGTAATCGATTTTATCGATTAGGTCGATTTCAATTTTCAAAAAAAATAAAAAAAAAAATTCATTTGAAACATTTGATTTTTGTTTACGTTCCGAAAATTTTTCGTATCATTTTTTTACTTAACGTTA